ATTACTTCAATTTGAGTGATAGAAATGGTTTCTGGCCTCTGTATCCCTTCAAATCTTAAAGTTTCTTCCAATGAACTTAATTTGTATCTCATCACAATCAGCCATTCTTCATATACTGAAACATCAAGCATGAATCTAAAGTTTTACTCTGTTCTGCAGAGGATATATGGCACCTGAATATGCACTATGGGGCTACTTAACCTACAAAGCAGATGTCTACAGCTTTGGAGTTGTTGCGTTAGAGATTGTTGCTGGGAAGAACAATATGAAATATCGCCCCAATGAGAAATTTGTTTGCCTTCTAGATTGGGTAACAAATCATTGTCCCTGATATCAATTCCTATGTTCCAAACTTTTGAACTAGTATCTTTGCATTTTGTTCAGGCCCTTGTTCTAAAAAGGGAAGGAAAACTGATGGAACTAGTAGATGAAACATTGAGTTCAGATTTCAAGAAGGATGAGGCTCTAAGGATGATAAACGTAGCTCTGCTATGTACCAATACATCTCCAGCACTTAGACCAACCATGTCTGCAGTAGTCAGCATTCTTGAAGATCATCTTGACCTTCCTGAGTTTAGCTTGGAATCAAGATCCCATGATGATGATGATGAACTCAAGTTTCAAGGGTTAAGAGACAAGTATGACGAGATGCGGAGCTTGAGCGAAAGTTAAGCACTTACTCATTCATCCAACACTATAAGAAGAGAGTGCTCTTCCACTACATCTGAATCGGGTTAAATAAATTCACAGTCAGATCAATATTGTGAAACAAAGAGTAACATATTATTTTAGGACTATATATGTGATGTGAGGTAAAAAGTTTCCTTGAACTGATAGAAAGTGTTCAAAATACGTGAATAGCCTATATAGATACTACTTTGGAGGAGACGCTATTCCAAGCAAATGGTAAACCTCTACTACTAATACTAATGTCTGGAAAACATCCATGGGTAAAGCAAGTGATAGTATGTTACTATATAGTCACTGAGAAAGAGTGAACAACAAGGCTACTAATAGGCCCAAAGCCTAACGTAATTAGGCAATGAATTCAGTGGTAAAGCATAAATCAATCATCTGGTACAATCTTGATGACCATCGACAATGTACACGGTTACTAAAATGAAAATCTTATACTGATATGTCGGACCAAAAGTTTCCTTATTCAAAACAAGAACAAAAGAAGTTCAAACTCATGCTGAAGCATCATTGCCTCCTTGATTTTCATTGTCTAAGTACAGTAATCATCTGGGAAATATTCATAAATGGGAGACGTTGGATTCAAATTTCATTGGTAATATTGTTGCTGTTAGATAAGGGAGGAGTAGCTTCTGATGGCCCTGCTGTAGAATAGCTTTCAGATGGAGAAGGCAGAGAGAGTGCAGCCATGGCCTTTGTCAATGCAATCTCGTCTGTTGAACGCCGGACTGTTGAAGATGTGGTCTTGATTTTAGTTTTTCCTTCAATAACTTTCACTACCTCAGACATGGTTGGCCTGAGAGTTGGTGATGGATTAGTGCACATCATTGCTAATTCCAGAATGGAATTAGCTTCTGTCCAAGAATAATCTGTTCCAAGTTTTGGATCAACTAGATCCATCAAATTTCCCTGCTCTTGCAACACGTAAGCCTGCAATCGAACCAGCAGACATCGATCAAATTAGCAAACTCATTCAAGTAAAAAGACAATGGCAACTGTTTATTAGGCATGTGCATCAATGAATGAAATTGAAAACTTCTTGTTTGAGGCTTTACCGAATCAAGAAGGTAAACTGTCTGATCACTTGGCCTGCAACTAGCACTGTTTCTCCCGCTCACAATTTCAAGTGTAACAACCCCAAAGCTGTAAACGTCTGCTTTTGATGTTAAGTAGCCGCGCATTGCATATTCTGGTGCCATATATCCCCTATAAAAGAACTTCCAATGAGAACAAATACACTTATCCGAAAGAAAATATATGTGTAGCATAAGCTTTAAGGTAACAGGGTGGAGGAGGATTAGCAGGATTATCAAATTACGTTGTTCCAGCAATTCGTGTGATGACATGAGTATGTTCCCCTTCATTAAGCTTTGCGTATCCAAAATCAGTTATTTTTGCATTCAACTCCTTGTCCAAGAGTATGTTTGTGGGCTTAATGTCCCTGTGGATAATCTTCAATTTGGACTCTTCGTGCAAATAAGTTAATCCTTTGGCTATCCCGAGGATAATTTTGACCCTCGTCGACCAATTTAGTCTCGATTTAATTTCCTCTGGACCTGCACAAGCAATTTCATTATTTTATTAACTACTTCAGAATTTTTTGTCAAAACATATGAGCCTTGCTATCATTACCGAATAATGCATGGTCAAGAGAATTATTTTCCATGTATTCGTAAATGAGTAGGAGCTCGTTGTCTTCTGCACAACATCCCATTAACTTCACAAGATTCGGATGTTGCAGAGCTGAAATCGTGCCAATTTCATTTACAAACTCACGTATTCCTTGCTTTGATTTTCCTGATAGCTGTTTAACTGCAATTGTAGTCCCATCAGGGAGCACGCCCTGTATTGATGAGAGACACTCCCCCATTATTTAGAATTGGCATGAAAACGTGAACATGATTAGGGGCTCTTCATATGTTATGTGCAGCAGTGACAGATAAAGTACATAAAATTCCTTCAGAAAAAAAAGCACCAAGGCCGTAACTATACGCTTACATAAGCAGCAGCTCAATCCAGGGTCGGGGGATTGATATGATGAATAAACAGAATGCTAAAAATCCAACAAATACTAACCTTAAAAACAGGTCCAAAACCTCCTTCACCCAATTTGTTCACAACATTGAAGTTCTGAGTGGCATCTTTTATTTGACGAAAGGTGTAAACTCCTCCCGGGAACAATTCAGTTGCTTGTAGTTCTTTTGATATGTGTTAGCATTTCACAAAAGAAACAAACAGAATTTTATTTTAGTGAGTTATACAAATTTATATTGAAATAATAACCAAACCAAACTCCATATATAACTGCGTCTAACCTGATGATCTTTTTCCGCCAAGATAGCCCAATTTCCTTAGTAAAAGCAAAAGTAGAGCAAGAAAAAACAGTGATGATACTGCTATCACAGCCTTAAGCGCAGGAGACAGTTTCGGATGGTGTTTTGGTGGTGGTTGTACACGAACTACCATCAAAGTATTGTTGTCTTAGAAAGGACACTGAAGAATATGACTGACAGTAGACCAGATAAAGAAAACATACCTTTGGTTACAGAAATAGTTGAAATGAGGGGACCGTAGTTGTCTGAGCCATTGCCAGACCAGTACAAGTGAATTTCAAGACAGGATTTTATAGAAGTATTATGTTCCACCATTTTATCCCCATCATCATTCACTTTTTCTGCTTCTATATTGTAGTTCTTCCGTACATTCTCCCCCTACAATGACAGCTTTTCAAAGAAGAACTACAAATATGATACCTTTACAATTCTATTTGGTATAACAGAAGTAGTTCTCCATGACAAATATTTTTCTGGAAAAAATAGTTTATGGTGTTTGGTTGTAGTGGAAAATATGTACATGTTAAGGGTGTGTTTGATATGACGGATTCTGTTGTTTGGTAACCAGAAGGTAGAAAACATTTCCCTTCAAAATGAGAAATAGGACTTCCCTCACTTACGGACAGAAGTCAATTTTCTATAGAACTTTTTAACTTAATATTACTGGCTCCAATAAGTTACACATCCTAATTAATCTTTAGTACTCAAAATTTTCATCAAAACACTCTCCCATTTGTTACTGTTTCAATCAATTTTTGTATATAATTTTTTTTTTTTTTGAAATGCATTTTTCACTCACCAATCCTGTACCGGAAAACATTTTTCAGGAAATTATTTTCAATGGAAAATTGCCACACCGAACACTCTTTATAGATCAATGATAATATATAGGGGAATGTTTTGACACAACTTTGAGTAAAATTTTTTTTAAGAATAATGTCCAAGTGTTACTTGAAGCAAGTAAAAATTGAGAAAGTTATATAAGGAAAATGACTTCCATCCACAAGTGAAGGAAGTCTTTTTCTATCTTTTGATGGAAAATGTTTGTTTTTCTTGATAACTAAGCCTTTTTTAGTAACCAAACACCATAAATTTATCATTTTGGATATTTAACCTAATACCATAAATTGATCTTGGAAATATTTTTCTAGAAATGACTTCCTCATGGAAAACTTTTTTAAGAAAGTTAATGACTTTCTTATGGAAAACTTTATATAGAAAATGACTTGCGTCATTCCTAGATATTACCTGGATGTCAATATCAAAAAATCGTTTAGGTGTGATGGGATAGGCTTGTTTTTTACTTGAGCCTATCTCAGCAAAATATAGTTTGACTGTGTAGTTTCCATTGGAGAAACAAAATCCATAGTACTTGAGAGAGATCAGGGCTACACGGGCTGTTTCAACCAAACGTGCTGCAGTATTGGAAAGATTACATGTATCCTTGATTATTAATGATTCAGGTCGCTTATCCAAACTCTCGGTAAGACCCATGCTACTATAACCCCAACCTCCTTTTTCATCGCGAGAAAATGTTGATGATCCGTTGGGGTTCTGATCAGCAGAGTAGTGATTGCCATTTACAGTAACTTCCTTCCCACCACAGTTGATAAACAATTCATCATCTGCGTACGTGAGAGAAAACTACCTACTTTTAATTGAGAAAAAAAGTAGAGTAACAAACAATATAATAAGCAGAAGCCGAGAAAACATTAGGAATACTACAGCTTGGTAAAAAATGACTTACATTTTAGATTATTATGGCAATAATCGTCACATCTATCTTTTATGTGCGGCCTACATATATAAACATACGATCAGAATGCAACACTAGTCTTCTCTAGGAGGAAAAGAAAAGATACAAATAAGAAATGAATTTTAACACTCACGAAGTACTTGAGCAGCCTGGAAAATAGTTCCTGAAATGGAAAGGCCATTTCGTAAGGCTAGCAGCCTAGATAAAGAAAGATACTATTTAACATCTAAAGTAGACAAACAAGTGTAATGATCATCAGATGAAGCATTGAACTCTGAGGTTGTAAGTTTAAACAAGTTTTCAGAAACATCCCTGCAAAACAATTTATGACAAAAATAAGCTCTCTCTTTCCAATGTTGCTTGAAAGACAAATGACAAAGATCACAAGCAATATGTAGCGGTGGACGGAATTATATCTACCACAAAAAGTTGTTTTACTTGAACAAGACGTACTACAAATTGAGACAAACGGGGGACCTTTGTGAATAAAAAGTGTTAAAAAGAAACATGTGTATGAGTCTCTTTGTGTGTTTTTTTGTTAAGTTATTCTCTTAGGGTTCGTTTGCTTGGTCATAAACTTATTTATGAGGGAATCTATGTATTAGGTTTATGATATTGAAGGAAGTTTCAAAAGCAATTTTTCTTCATTTGTTGACATTCAAAATTGGCATGGCACCAACACACTCTTTATGAATATTTCCACTTACACATATCGATGTGGTTTTACGTTCTTCCTCTTAGTTAGCCATCCTGGCAATAATCCATTAAGCTTGTTCTCCCTGAGGAATCTGCAGCAATGTGACAATGTTAAAGGGGTAAAACTAGAAAATCGGTTATCCCCCCACCTGTTAGGCCAAGCTTCGAATATTGAGAAAAATGGAAAAAAGAAGCCAGTACAAACAACATAAAACAATGGAATGGGAGAACATGATTTAGGCAGTTGGATCAGTTAGACCAACGTCCACGAGCAGAGTGAAGAAAATTCAATGTATCAAGTGATGTACAATAGATAGTACAAAATTATGGTAAATACTCTAATTACCTGTTCTGCATATGTTACATAATATAAGACTGGCAAATACTGCACAAAAGCAGAATAAAAACACTCTCCCAATGGTCTTCTTCTAACAGTCTAAGCGTGTTCTAATGCACCTCCTTCATGAAGCCGGACACTCGGCCATATCACTGAGTCAAGGACCTCCCCAACAGAAAATCGACAGCTGGTAGAGCCTATTGTTAGCCTATTAACAAAGGTTCTTACTCCACAGATCTCACTGGAAACCCTAGCTCAAGCAATCTCACTATAGGGAAAAAGTAGCTTCAAAAGCAAAAGTTGATGAGAAGCAAGACACTGCTCAGGGGGGACAGCAAGAAAGGCCACGCTCGACAAGTGGAGCATGAGGTTGGGTATTCACAAGAACAGATAACCACTATTCTGCAACAAAAAAGAAAAGGCACAACGACAAGGGCAGGAAAAGGAAAATACTACTGCTTCAATGCAAGTTAATTTCTCATATGGTCACTCAACTAACAACTTTTATCTCGGTCACTCAACTAACAACTTTTATCTTAGAAAGTCACTCAACTTTAATTTGTAACAGAGAATTCACTAAACTGTTGTCATTTCTCCTGTATAGTCACTCAACCGATTCAAACGATATTTCTGGTAGATATTGATGACATGGAGCACAGTTTGTTGCATTGTCATGTATCATCACATTTATGGTCGGAGACTGTGAGGTGGTTTGGTCTAATGTGACTATATATGTTGAGAACAGTAAAGGATGCCTTATTCAGTTGGGCCTTTAGAAGAAGAAAGACAAGACACAGAATTTATATTGAACAGAACAGAGAGACAACTTTCTATGTGCAGCATATATAGTAAGTAACATCATATATAGCAAGTAAATCACATACACACTCGAAAACACAACACTCATGCAAAGAAGAGATAGAGAACGCACATAGATGTTAAAGATGTGCTAATGAAATTTGGCAGTTGTCCAGATAACTCGTTGAAGCTCAAGTCCCTATAATCAGAGAAAAGAGAAAGATGTAATCATCCAATCATGTCTTTATCTACAAGCTATATAAAAAATGTTTTCCTCAAGAAAGCGTTTTTCAGTGTTAAGTTACTGTAAATTTCTATAAAAAAAAATCCAAGGAAATGTTTTCTATCAACAGGTATTGGAGGGATTTCATATTCCACATTACTCAGACAATAAGTGGTAGCTACACGATAAGAGCTTTCTAACTATGGCTGTTAAAATTTAACAAAACCTTAGCCTATAAATGTACCTATATACAATATCAGCTAGATATAATGTTCTGTATTAATGACCAAAACAGGGAAAATGACTAGTATTCTTTTCACTTGTTTCAATTCACACTTCTCTGTTGTTCATTATATGTCATATCCTATACATTATATAATTAGCATATCCTCCGTGGAAAATGTTTTCAACACCTTATAGAGTGTATTATTAATACCAAATGTTTTTTCTACACCTTATAAGGTATAAATATTTGTTCTAACAAATTGAGATGGACATAAAAGGGTAAAAAAGTGTGGACTAAAATAAGGTAGTTTTTCACTAAATGATCAAGATGCAACTTCCATATTTACAACATACTACGGTTGCCACACAGTAAAAGAGAAACACAGACACCAAAGATAAGGGGAAATGAAATTGGTTAGAAGAAAATTGACAGAATATCATCTTACAGATTCTGTAATTCTTTAAGCACCCAAATATATCCCGGAATGGGACCACGAAGTGAACATTTCCTCAATGTCCTAGAATCAACATCATGAGTAGTATATTTGCATGTCAGTATCACATGACACTGAGAAACAATCGTTTAATTCAAAAGGAGTTAAAGGATATCAGGCCTACAAGTCTTGCAACGAAGTCATACGCGATAGATCGGGAAAATCATATGCACTTCCTCTTGTGACTACATTGCTGAGTGCTCTAGGATTATAAAATTGGGAGAAAATATCAGCCAAAAATTTCAAAATTCACATACTAGCTACTACAAATAACGATCTTCAAAACAAAAATCTTACAGGTAAACGAGACTTTCCAATGATGAGATTTCCTTTGGCCAGGGGCCTTCAAAATTATTTCCTAACAGATCCCTACAAGGAAAAGAAGTTAAATTGATAACTAAATTAAACCATCCTTATTATAATATTGCTTTCACATAATTGGGCTTACAACGTATCGAGTTGCGTCCAATTGGCTATAAATGTTGGAATTTTCCCAGTCAAGCTATTCCCTTGAGCCCAACTACAACATAAAATAAGAACAAAAAACATAAAGAGAGGGTGGTTGCAATTGACAAGTTGATTAAATGGTGCAATCCAAAGAAAATCAGAGTCAACATGCACTTACAACTTTTCTAAGTTCACCAACTTCATGAAGCTTGGAGGCAATTCACCCACGAAATAATTGGTGCGTAGGTCCCTGAAATCATTTGCTAGCTACTTTGACAATTCGAAGGAAGGATATACAATATTGCAGTTTTCGTTTCTTTTCTTTTTCCATACAGTTCAGATCATAAATATCATTTATTTTCTGCCATATGATATAGTCATGAATGTGTTGGGTTCATTGTATAATGTGTGAATGGATAATGGTACATAGAATAAAGAATGGTGAATTAAAAATGTGAAAGTGCTGCAAGTATGAATGAACTTATTCCATTCATGAATACTAATGAAAGATGATCAATGCAACCATGATGCAACCTTTCATATTTCTAGGCTACCTTTTCACATATCATGCATGAATCATTATGCTCACCTATAGGCTATAAATATATGATTCTTTCTCAGATATTGACATAAGTTTTTTGAGATAAGTTTTGAAACAAAGTCTACAAAAAGAAAAACACTACATAGTAAGAAAAAAAAAAGTATTTGCTTTTCCAAAATCTTCAAGTGTGATTACAAGCCATTGAGTGGTTCGCTGGACAACAAATTTAAGGTACCACTATTTGTTTGTCGTGAGTCATTTTATCCTGGGAGGATATATTCCATGACCTCGGGTACTTGAGGAGAATAATTTCCTTAAGGAAACTCTGTGAATTCATATGACTTGACTCTTCTTCCTTTCATCTTGTTGATTTTAAGTTTATTTCGTTTCCAAAATTTATTTAACTTCATATTATATACTCCTCCGTCCTATTTTATGCACGAAGTTTAAGAAAGGAAGGAAGACTTTTAAAACTTGTGGTCCAAAATGAATGATAGAAATTTATGTGGCTGTAAATCATTTCATTAAGGGTAAAATAGACATTTTATAGCTAAATTGTTACTTAATATAGAAATGTGTCATTCTTTTTGAGACTGACTAAAGAGGAAAGTAAGTTACATAAATTGGAACAGAGGGAGTATTTCATTATTTGTATGAAATTTGATTGAAGTTATTTTGTTGGAAAAACAGATTTTGCACTACGATACTTAACAAGTAGTTAACAGAATGAATGGATCCATGTGCAACTAATAACTCTACAATTCCCATGAATTTGGGATTAAGTATCTCAACCTTGTCATTAGGGGAAACCATTAGGGATAAGTTGTGTTATTAGCTCAAAATTGTTGTTATGGACTGTATTTCAGATTTTGTTGGATAAAAGGATTTAACAAATATCAAAGATTCGTCGAACATTGCCATAAGTGGATGGATGCACAGAACTAGATGTGTTGACACAAGTCAGTCCAATCCTTTCCAATATTGACAACATTCTCTGAAAAAGAAAAAAATTGACTCAAAATGCAAAGCCGAATTTCTTTATTTATTCTTGTTTTTGCGTACACTTGAGAGCAAAAGAGACCTAAACAAACCCTAAAATATTAACTTTACCTGAAAAACTAGCCAAACCATAGTATCGAAATATGTCCTACAGATGTATGTCTAGGATGATTTAGGTTGAAGAAAAAGGGAACAATCTCATTTTTTGCATGGCATGAGAATTACTATTGGTAGTTGTTGGTGTCTAATATTGCATTGCAATATGCACAATCTTCTGCATAGCTATGGTAGAAAATAATTAAGGTTTGACTGTGGCACTTGATCCCTTATATATCAGAGATTGATGCCGAGTTAAGAAACCAAAAAAAAAAATGTATTTATCAATATAGTGCACCAATGTGAAAATAATCGACTAGATTCTTGAAATTATCAAACTGTTGTACTTACAGTTCCTGTAGCTGTGTAAGATTCCCAAGCTGCTGTGGGATGGCACCTGAGAGTTCATTCTCATCCAGATATCTACATTAAATTTCAAATCAGAACAGATCAAAATGAGAATAGAAAGAAGAAGAGCGATAAAGAGGATGTGTAATATTTTTCTACTCAATAGTACGTCATACAAAATCTCAAGATTGGAGATGTTCCCCTGTTATATTCTAGGTGTTTTGATAATCCTCATAAATGCAGGGACTTGGTCCCTGGCAGAGTGCTTTCGTCCAGATACAAATGGAGTACAGCTATAAAGCTGTCATGTTAGGTGGTAGGTGAAAAGTGCAGTGTCATACACCAATAGGAAGAGCGGACGAGATTGTATGCTTCAGTGTCTCACAGGGACCTGGTCCTAGGCAGAGTTCTCTCGTCCAGATCTATAATGGGGTACAGTTGTAAAGTTGTCGTGTCAGAGGTTGGTGAGGCGTCAGTGTACTACACCAATCAAAATGGACGAGGGTGTTTGTCCAACGGGTAATAACTCTTTATGGTTGATATTTTCTACATGACAAACACCATATTAAATTCATTCATCCTAAGAAGGAAGTCAGCCAGCAAGCCTTTTCAAGAACCCACAAAGAAGTTTGCAAGGGACCTGGTCCCTACAAGACTGTGATATGAAAAGGTGACAAGATAGCCGTCAAAAAAGCTGCCACCTCTGATGCGGTAGGTGAGTAACTTTTCAGAACAGCAGGCTTTCAGCCATTGGGCGGTCCCAAGGAGTTTGTGTTCATTTTAATATAGTCTCTTCTAACAAAACACAAACTCAAGATTTGGCAAACAAAAATTTGGATTTTCTCTGAAAATTCACAAGCTTGAAAAGAGAAGGTCATCTTCAAAGAAGAACACTGCTCATATTAGCAAGGGACCAGATGGAGTGCTAAAGCATCTTGTTGTATCTAGAGCTTTGTGTCTTATGTGCTTACATTGTAAATCTGTTCTATTCTATAAAGGATTCAGATATTTTGTTTCGTTTTCTAAAAGGTCTAAATCATCCAGAGGGTGGTGGTTTAGTGGACAACTTGTGTGTTGCTTAGTCAAATTCTAATCATCTAGAGTTAGGTGGTTTAGTGGGCGGTGTGGTATCCGCTTAGAAAAGTCTATATTAATCAGTGAGGGTTAGTATAGTGGGCAGTGTTGTATCTGCTATGGCTCAGCTAAGTGATAGAAGGTATTGCTTAGTGTGGTGATTAGCAGGCAAATCTCATTTTGTAAACTGGCTTTTATTTTTGCTTGGAGAAGATTAGTGGAAGCAGTTTGAAAAGTCCTGTTGAGACAGGTCGTGGTTTTACTCCCTTGAGTAAGGAGGTTTCCACGTAAAGTTGTTTGTTCAATCTTTACTTTCAACACTTATTTTATTGTTTGTTATTGTAACTGTGCTGAAGACCTGGTCTCATCGAAACAAGTGGACGCATATTTTTAGTTACTGTTCTTGCTGAGTCAAAGGACCTGGTCCTTGACTGATAGGTGGATACATACATTCCAACATCCCCAGCTCTTCTGGAATGCTTCCATTTAGTAAGTTGAAGGATAAGGATCTAAATAGAAAAAAAAATAATACAATAGTGAGCCTGACTTGTGCAAAAGAAGTAGAAGGTAACAGAAAACAAAAATGAAAGCATATATCATGATACTTACAAAGCAGTTAAGTTTTGGAGAGCACCAAATTCACGAGGGATTTGGTTGTTAAAGGAATTACCGGTTACAGACATACATGAGCCACATTTTGTGGAAACAATTTCATGATATATAAAAAATTGCTTTGATCAAGTAGCCATCGAATTACTCACAGAATCTGTAAGTTGTTCATCTGAAATGGCAACAAGTCTCCACTGAAGAAGTTTTCATAAAGCCCTCTGTAGAACATAACACTTTATTTTGGTAAGAAAAGATAATAGAGATTGCAGACTCCCTCCAAGTCAAACAAAGAGAGATCAGATGTATGCAAAATTAAGATTTGAAAAAGGACATAGTACCACTCACAGTTCCTCAAGCGATGTTAGGTTGAGAAATGATTTAGGGAGTGATCCATTAAGCTTGTTGGTGCCTAAATTCCTGAAGCATCCATCCATGCCAAGTTAGAGCAATAGAAATGGAGTAAATCATTTATCATATAGATTACTACTACATTGCAATTTTACAAAATCGTGTTTCACCCCTTTCAAAAGCCCTCTAATTATTTCTCTCCTTCCAAATAACCAGCATGATTGCTAAGTAAAGGAGGCAACAATTGATTCCTCGATCTACCTCTGAGACTATGATATACGCAAACCTTACTCTACACCTGAATTGTTTTAGATAAACCAGCAGGTCTTCAAAGCATTATTATGACATAAAAATCACCATACAAAGCAGATGATGCAACAAATAATACAACACATTGAAGAATAAAATTGCCTTTTAGATGTGATAAATGCATAACTATTTACTAACTTTCCATCATAATTTTTTACCTTCTTATCTAAGCTTACATCTATTCACTTCTCTTAAATTCTCTTTTTCATCTCTCTTAACTCTTGCTACTATTAAAGTCTCACACCCACTACTACAAAACTGCAAATTACCTGGAGATTTTACTTGGGGATTATTTCATAGAATTTTCCTACGAATTTCATGCGAAATTAAAAATTTCCTAAATTCTGGACCTTTTTTACCTGCGAAAAATATTTCCCTAGAAAAATTGGTAGGTAAATTTGGAGCCATTTTCGCAAAATTATTACCTGGGGAATTATTTGGGGCAAATAATTTGCAAGTACCATTTTCATAGATAAATTCGCAAGTAATGAAAAAAAACTATTTTTTAATTTGTTTGAAAGAAAATTCCCAAATAAACTTATTTGCCGATCCAGTTAGAAATAATTACTTAAAAAATTATTTAGAAATAATTTTATATGTGGTATTATCTGGGGATTTATTTTCTACGAATTTTGTTGGGAATTTATTTCTTGAGGATTTACTTGGGAATTTTTGTACTTGTAGAATTACTTGGGGATTTTATTATTGTGAATTTGATTGGAGATTTTTTGAGGAATGCATACTTGAACTTTTTTAAATATAATTTAACTGGAAGTTTTTTTTTTTTTTTGAATCTAAGAACTTGTTTTATTTGAAATCTTCGAGGAATATTTTCTTTAAAATATATTTAACCAAATAAAAAATATCAATGACATTAGAATGAATATTGTTAAATATTTACTCTACTTTTAGATTAAATAAATTATTATACAATAATATCAATCTAATACGGTGTTGGAGGTACCTCCTAAATGGTGCATCCTCGTATCTCTTCTTCACATGTCCAAATCAACTACTAACTTGATTCTGTATAAAAACTTCACTCTATTTATTTGTGCTCTCTGGTCCTCTCAATAATTTAGGTGTAAAACTTTAAAAAAAAAAAAATTAAGTGTATTGCTGACACTTCACTCTTTGATAATCTATTTCTTCTCACTATTTTAGGTGGTAGCCAAAGCTATAGAATGGAACATACAACAAAAAAACAATCTTCAATGAATAAGTTAATGCTATTGCATTCAAATTCATTAATACATGCATTTCACATATTTAATTTGTGGTCTTTTTAAAAGGTGGTTGTTATATAAATGGTGTTGGGTCTAGCTTAACCCAAAAAATTAATCAGGAGATAAGAATTACCTAAGTCATATAAAAGACCATCCATCCCTTAAAGATCGATATGGAGTCTTCACAGTTTTTGCACTATACAGTGTGTCTGTTGTATCCTAAAGAGATTTGTTCATGACTGACCCTCAAAGCCTATTTTTACTTTGGGAAACTTATATAAATGTACTATATTAAGAAAATATTTACCATTTATAGCAATAACAAAATTTTTTTCACTTGATCACTTTTAATACTTTTATAATATAGTTTTAATACATATTACAGAGAATAATTTATAAAACACATATAATACAAATTTTATTGATAGATAATACATTTATCATACATTTTAATATAATGTGTCAATTTCTTACCAAACAAGCATAATATATTTTAAAACAATCATAATATATATATTGCATACATAATTCACTTTTAATACATATTGCGGATTTATCATAGTATTACTATGCATTGCTATAAATGGTAATAAATAAAAAGTATTATTAAAATCAATAATTATTAATTAAAATATACTCATCTAAGGAATTTATCCTATATACCTCAAGATTATATCTCAGTTGTGTATTTATGTAACAAAAATTATTAAATGAAAGTAGCAAAACTGAACTTACAAGAATTGTAAAGACTCCATCTGAAAAGGTGGCAACTGCCCACTCAAGGAGTTATCAGAAAGATCTCTGTAAATCCACATCATTATTTGGTAAGAGAAGACACTGAGCAGACTATTATAATTATAATTACAATTAGTAGAATTAAGATGGTGATAAACATGTTTGAAAAGGACAAATTAAGTGATCATGGGGAGCTTTTCGATCTTCCCCAGTCCAACCGGATCAAACAAAATAAAAATATAGGCATATTATATAAATATGTCATTTAATTTGACTGTAATTATCATTTATATCTTTCAACTTTAATTATGTGTGCGCAAGTAACCACTTAAACTTATATAAAATTGAACAAGTAGACACATGCGTTACATGTAGGACGCTATGTAGGATGTGAGTTGCCATATAAAATGTCATGTAGGATGCATGTTGTTCAATTTTATACAAGTTTAAGTGTCTACTTGTACACACCCAAAGTTAGAAGGCACAAATATCAGTTGAAGTCAAGTTCAATGACACATTTATGTATTACATCTAAGACATATCTAATATATAATAACTCACATATAAGTAATGAATTGTAGGTTGATAATTGATATAGGAATTTCTCCTCGAAGATTGTTTCCGCTTAAATCCCTGATAATTATGAAACGAGTTGAAGCAATAGAAATATAAATCATTAATCAAAGTGATTGATTTCATATATGGAGCTGCAAGCAATTGAGTATACATTTCTCTTGCTTTTCTTATAATAACATATAGTATAATTATTATTTTTTTGTAGCAAGAGACACAAATGGGTTATAGTTTCAAAGGCAAAAATATTATACGTTAATTATTGATATTAAAACTTAACATATTTTTGTACTTGCATGATTACCTTTAAGGTTTAGGACTAAAATGATAATTTTTTCATATAATAAGGACTATTTTGATTATATGATCAAAATAAAAGATTAAAATAGTCATGTTTTTTCATACATTAAGGACTATATATGTTGATTACATAATATGTATGAAGGACTAAAATGATCATTTTTTCATACATTAAGTACCATTTCCAATATATATATATATATATATATATATATATATATATAGGAAGGAAGGACTAAAATAGCTAGTCCAACTCCCATAGATTCAAGACCATTTTGATCATTTTCTCGAATATAGTCACAATTTTAATTCAAAAATAATGTAGCTTAGAGCATGCAAGAACTTATGGATGTTTAAATTCCATAAAGCGTTTCTTGAATTTGAATTTATAATGATCTGAATCCATAATCCTTGATTCTGACACTCAAGCAAATATTTTAACACATAATTTATTTTTTTAATTTTGAACTTATAAATATTTAAATCACATGGATAACCATATAATAATTAGTGATCCTTTGTACGTATTGTTCTTTCTTATCAAAAAAAGCAGCGAACTAAAGCAATACTGGCTATATATGCTATCTAGCCATTTACAAAGCATCCTGATCATTATCAATATGATGTATATTAAACCACTAATTAATTGGCTTGTTAAATCAAACTATAATAGTATAATGCTCCATCTGTCCTTCTTTACTGGTCCATTTTTTATTTGACACACCTATTAACAAAATGGTAATTGACATAGTGAATTTACAATTTTATTCCTATTAATTAATAGAATTTCAAAATCAATTTACTCAGGTTCTACATTGTTCAAAAACACTAACTCTCTAAATAAATTGAGGATATAATAAGTAAAAAAATATTGTCTTTCTTTTAGTTGTCAATAATAACAAGTAAAAAGAGATCGAGGAAGTATAATTAAGATGAAAAGCAGGTTGAAGAGAAAGATAAATAAACATTAATTCTCACAATGTTGTTAAATGAGAAAGATTTCCGACTTCTTGTGGTATTCTCCCGTATAAATTGTTCCCTGATAAATATCTGCAAATTTTTAAATATTGTGTTAACAATTCTAATGGACAAGAAGGAATTAATTTATGGAAAATATATAATCAATCAAAGACAATTCTTTTGACAAATTTAAAATTTTGAATTACGTTGATCTGACAACATTTTTAGTCCCTCTATCAGTCTATCTTAGAATCACGACACATTACATATGTGTTTGGTTCGACGAAAATATGTTTTTTGGAAAATATCTTTTCAGGTAAGTCAAACTATTTAGAAAAAATAAATTTATATTATATTAAAAATAGGACCCCTAAATATAAAACCTAAATTACCTAATAGCCTTTCTAAATTGTTATTAATAATGTATATGTATTAATTAATAATAATAATATACTTAACAATCATATTCAAATAAAAGAAAATGTATGAAATATGAGGTCCTATACAAAAAAAAAAAAAAAAGTTTCAAAGGGTTACGTACAGTTTTGGAAGTTGTAAAGTTTTTACTTTTACTTGATTCACATTAGTACCTCTGGAGCCACAATAGTTGCTACGGATTCGATACAATCCAGTATACAACATTAACTAAAATTATATATTTCAGTTAAAAGGAATACATTTAATTTAATTATAGAAATAATAATTTATTCAAAACCTAGTTAACAAAAAACTTATACTGTAGTTCAGAACTCATAAACTAATTAAATTGATCTGGCTCCGTCTTGCACTTTAACATGTCAAAAGAAAATCAAAATACAAAAAAATCCTTAATATTAATTAATCATTTTCCAAATATAGTAAGACTATACATAAATAATATAGCTATATTATGATAAAATGTGTACTTCATTTTGTTCTTTCTTAAGAATAATTCATGAACAAATAAAAATGAAATAAATAGTACGTAAGAAAAGACGTACAATTCCGTAACGTGACAAAATGTTTTATTACAGTTGCCACATATAATAGTTTTGTTATCACATTGTTGATACCAGAACTTGTCATTCCCCTTTGCAAGTTTACGTAATTCCTCGACTGCCCTAACTGTCGATTAAAATTAAAAAGAAAAGTAAGATCTCATTTATTAGAGCGCTCTTTAAATAGTACGATGTGTATATAATTAATTGCGCTTCGATTTAGAAAAGCTATATATAAACTTTACCTTCTACGTCTGGAAGGAGCAGCTGAGGTCCATTTGCCAAATTACTCGACGATTTGACGACACTAATATTGGTTGCTAAAATAAGCAATAGTACTAATTTGTACAACTTATCAATTGAAACCATATCTATCTCTTCTTTACGCATGCAACTTCTATATTTTAATACATGCATATATATAACTAATGATAAAAGGAATAAAGTAAAAAAAAAAAAAAAAAAACTTTGATTTGATTGACCCCTTAACTAAACACGTGTATGTGTATAGATATAAAGTGGCCTAGCTACATTGATCCATCCGAAGGTAATCACTCGAACACTCTCGTCAAAAAATTATACTGTACAAATAAAAAATAACATTATATATATAATATACAGGTCAAACAAGTTTTTAGAGATATATCTATTAAAATATTAGATATTCTTAACAAAATTTCTAGCTTTACCAGTGTGAATGTATACTTTAATTTGTGCTTTTACAGCTTTTCGAAAGAACTTGTTCTTTTAGCTGGATATGTAATGCTTTAATCGACAAGATATTTACAAGGAGTATAGTATATATTCGAAGTCATATTATAAGTCATTTTCCTTTGCATGAGTTTTGATGGGTGTGGGTAAAAGGAGTAATTTTGGATGGATCCTAATTTATTTAGCATCAATCAACTTTTATTTATTCCACCTTATCTGATAAGGTGTGTGGACTCTTCTATCATTGAGTAGTGATGCTTTTTTTTTTTTTTCAATTTTTTTTTACTATTTAGATGAAGGAACCGATTAAATAAGCTCCAGTTTGAAATATAAATTTTATTTATCATGAATAAAATATTTTAATCGTTGAATATTTGTTAAAGGAATGATACTTTTTATATAAAAAAACAAGTTACTATGCGGGCTATTATATGGGAATTTTCACATATAACAACTCAAATAACTCAATTATGCTTCATGCATATAGTTTGCTAATTACGATTCGTAGCTACATGTTAGAGGGAGGAGAAAGGCAAGCGAGATTGGGAGAGTTGAGCGAGAGAGGGAAAAGAGTGGAGAGAGACGAATTGTATATGTATATCTGTCAAATAATTGTATATATATATATATATATATATATATATTTGTATATCTGGCGAGCGAGATCGGGAGAGGGAGGAGAGAGGCGAGCGAGATTAGGAGGGGGAGGAGAGAGGTGAGCGAGAGAGGGTAGAGAGTGGAGAGCGGTTAATTGTATTTGTATATCTGTCATATATATAATTGTGTGTGTATATATATAATGTATTTGTATATATAAATAAGCGACGTAATTACAACTAAAATTAAGTTGCGAGCCGTAATTAGTTCAAACTATAGCTATGTCAAATATATATGTTCTTATCCGCGTAATTTCCCCTATTATATATATGAATGAGAATTTGAGTATTACTAATACGTGATAAAAAATAATCTTTACCATCTGAAAAAGAATATTACTAGGTTAAATATATGGAGATGGAGGGAAAATTCAGCTAGGTGAAGAGCTTAAGTTTATATATATATATATTGACCAGTTTATGTGCGACTTGACTAATTCTATTGAGTGTCTGCTACCTTTTATCAAGTATAAATACTGAGTAAGTTTGTGTGTTGATGCTTGGACAAATGAAAAGAACTTACCTAGTGTTTTTGCCTCGCACTAATCAGATTTGTACTTGAAAATTCTTATCTTACTTCATTGATTATTGTACCACTAATAACCAAAAGTTAAACTAAATTAGAAGAATAATAAAACTCTCTTCCTTCAATTATGGTCTTTAATCTCTCCAGAGTTCCCTTCTGCCTTCTTTAGTATTGATATGTTGCTTTAATTAGTCTCCAAGATATTTACAGGAGTATATATTCCAAGTCATATAAGGCATTTTCCTTGGCTTTGATTTTTTGAACTCCTTTATCATTGAGCTGTGGTGCTTTTCTAAAAAAAAACAAAAAAGTTGATTATTTATTAGATGAAAAAAACTAGCTATATATACATTCAAGGAAAAAGTTATCTTATAGCCTAGTCCTACGACAAATAAATGATTTAGCAATAATTATATAATTATCCCTAAAAAATATTTTTGCCATTAAATATCCTTTTTATTGTAGTGTACGTTAGTGGCCAAATTATAGTATAGCCTTATAGGGTGGCTGACGTAATATTTCTAGCTAGTGAAATATGAAATCCGAATCTTGATTTTATTTTATTTTTTCTAAAAATGCGCATATATAATAATGAGATACGAAAATTTCCACGTAACGAAAGCAACAGAGTTTTAGTATATATATTTTGTCTATTTAACTCATCATAGACAACTCATAAACAATGAAGGGTTCAACTGAATCTCCTTCGAATAGGAAAATCATACCGCATATTGAAAATATTTTATTTAGTTCAGATATATACAAACTTTTGGGTCCCTTCGGCTTACTTTACGTTAGAAGATTGATTTTTTTTTTTAAACCCTTTCTTAAAGTTGCTCCATGCACCTTTTATATTTTTTCAGTTTGTGGTTATATTTAGTAACACACAGAGAAATAGTTACAACATTTGCTTCTCAAGTCATGTTCTTTTTAAATAAAAGAAAAGAAATATAACTATTTAGTATTTAGATTATTTTTGAAAAGTTGTATCACATTAAAATAATAAAACGATTTCAAAACAGAAAAAGCAACACATTTTCTTCCATCTCCAATTCCTAAAAAATTGTGAAGATTTCTTCTCCGAATAGCAAACTTTTATAACAAGTACACAATTATAGACTGTGACTATTTCAATTTAATTAGTTCACCTTTGTATATAATTACACTATTTAATTAGTGAAACTAAGTTTAATGATCATGTAAATTATGTATTTGATTAGATTCTTTATACTAATTAGATAACCCTCCCCATATAGTTTTGTGCCTTCCAAATAGAGCATGTTGATTTGATTTTTGTTATGATAAAAATAGGGATATATACGCAATTGTTGAAATAGGCGACAAGCGGGACGGATTTAGGAATGTGGAAGGGGTGTTATGTGACACTGCTTTATCAGAAAAATTTACTAAATAGATAAATATAATTAAGAAATAGAAACAAACTGAGTTGCTATATATTATAAGTGACTTTGTCGAATAAAAGATGTGTGTAGCTTAGGTGGTCTTGTGTTGAAATTGTGTTGCGTGTTCAAGCCTCATGACATTAATTTGAATACGTTTCATAAAAAAAGAAAAATTATCAAAAAGATATAATAATATACATAAATTGTGTTTTATTTATTTTTTTTAATATGGTTTTACATAATTTAATTTAATTTTCTTATTTTAAAAAATGACATCGCTTAGAAAAAAATTCTGCTTAGGCCACTTACAACATGTTACATGTAAGTAATTTATTTTGTCTTCTCTTCTTGTTTCTCGAGTCCAAGTATGAATTTCATGGCTAGTCCATAAATATAAGTACCACTTGTTTACTATATATTCTTTTCATCTTAAATTTTTATCGTATTTTTCATTTACGTATCTCTTGAAAAATATTAATTAAAAAGGGGTTTATTTTGGTTATCATACCGTTATTCATCTCTAAAGATATAATTTTTTTCATTTAAATATTTACTTTGTTGAGTAATTATAGTCTTCAAGAATAATAATACTAAAAATAGAAGGAGAAAAAATAATTAACTTTTTTAAACTCCTAAAATAACAAATAATTTGAGATATTTTTTAAAAAGAATGACAAATAATTGAAACAGGGAAAGTATATTGCATTATCTCTCCTTTAACCGCACTATTTAAAAAATTATTAATTTAACAGCAATAACTTAATTATCATTAAATATGTATTTTTAGCAGTAATTAACATTCTTTGTAAATGTTTCTAAAGCCTATAGCGGCACTAAAGCTAATGACAACTAACTTATTAATGTCAATAAAGACTTTAACGTTCTTTATTATTGTGTATATTTATTGTTGCTAAAAATTATTTTTATTGTAATGCCGATAATGCCGTTTATGTGGTTCACAGATAATGTACGTAATGTAGTTTGACTGATAATTAAAGGCATGAAATGATCAAGAAGATGTAGACTATGGAATCTTAAAGTGGAAACAGTACTAACAGGTTCTATAAAATGTTCTGTCATATATATGGTGAGAGCTAATAGCTTTTTCTCCCATTAATTTGGAATATGCTTTTTAATTTTCCATAACAAATTAAGAATTTGTATTCTTTACCATTTGAAAAAGAATATTACTAGTTAAGTTAGGCTTAAGTTATCTACGACCACTTAAAGTTGTCCGCATATTTCACTTGGACACCTTAACTAAGGCTTGTACCTATTGAACACCTTATTTATGCAAAAATCATTTCTAGACACAAAATGCTAACATGGCAAAAAAAATGTGTTTCACACTCCTTGAGCGCGTATAGAATTAAAAATCATATATATATTGTTTTGTTTTCCAACTTATATACTTAATTTTTTTTTTAAAAAAAATAAAAAATAAAATGAAAAAGCTCTGTCTTCTTCTTCACTACAACCATCCTCTAAGTACGTTTGTCTCTCTTTCTCTTACCCTTTTTTATTCTTCTTTTGCTTTTACCTTCATTTTTTAAAAGTTATTATTATATAGATTTAAATCTCAAATATTCTAGCAAGGCTTTATTTTTTTTGATAAAAATAATATGAATTGATTATTTTTTTCAGCAAAAGTCGTTATTCTTTTTTAGATAATTATGATAGTAAGTGATTGAAGAAAATAAATCCATAATGGGTGAAAAGCTTTGAAATAGCAACAGATTTTGATGAAGAAGAAGAGGCGTGGGGGCGGGGGTAGGGGTAGGCGTGGATTGATTGAAAATATTTTTTTATTTTTTAAATTCTTTTTTATCTAGTTGCCACGTCTGATCATTTTATTGGTCTATCTGCTATGTATTTGTGTTTGAGACACACGCACTTCTGTCTTTCAACAGATTTTCATTTTGTGTTTAACAAATATAAAATTGTTAAGATCAAAGTGTTCAATAGGTATTGACCTAAGTTAAGGTGTCTAGCTGAAATATGCGGACAACTTTAAGGGATCGTATATGACTTAAGCTAGCTAGGTTAATAAATATATGGAGATGGAAAAAGAAATTAGTCAAGATAAGTGCTCAAGTAAAATTTTTTACGGGGTGTTCCACTAATTTATACGTATCTTAATTAATTTTATAGAGTATTTCAAAGTAAATTTCATAAATATATAGTAAAGTAATTTCATTTGCAACAAATATATATAGCCAAGTTTTTATTTACATAAAAAAAAGCATAGCCCAAAATTAGTGATATATGTACATGTAATAAAATGGTCATATATATTTGTAAGGGAACTTTCACAAATAGCTACTTTAATAAATTTAATTATGCTCCATAGCTATAGTTTGCATATTTACGAGTTGTTGCTACAGTTTAAGTTGCCTCATTTGTATAATTCGCAAAGTTGCATAATTCGTAGGTACATTTGTATAATTCAGTTATTCTTTTATAAACTCGAAGTAACGAATTTATACAATTACAAACATCAGAAGTATAAACAGCTATACAAATTATATTATACAAATTCCGATTTATATAAACATGCGAATTATACAAAACTAAAAAGTTGAACCGCGTAATTATAGTTAAAAATAGGTCGTAAATTGTAATTGAGGCAAACTATAACTATGTTAACTAATTAACGAGTATATGTTTGCTTATACGCGTAATTTTCCCTATTTGTAATGTATCGATATGTTATATGTATATATAGTATTTTGATATTGTATAAATAATGTATACTTGTATATAAATGATGTATAACTATATATCATAGAAGTATATACATCTCTATATACATTTGACACAATAAAGTATACATTGCAGACCAATTTTTTTTCAATTACAACCAACTTAAATCTCCTTTAAACAATTCCAAAATTTAGAAATGAGCTTCTATCAATGTTTCAAATCTATGATATATTATTGAGCAACTTTCACATATAGCAAACACAAAATTCATATTTGTATGTTATAGCAATAATTGCGCTCCATAGCAAACATAAATATGTATATTTCATTATACATATACAAAAGAAAATAGTTGTATAATATGCTTTGGTATACATATACAAAAAGATCAATTGTATAAATTGAGAGAGGCGAGTGACCGAGTGAGATCCGGGAGAGGGGAACGAAAATATATGTATATATACAATTTTCACGCATTTTATACATTTGCGTTTTTGTATAAAGTGAGAGAGGCGAGTGAGAGAGCGAGATCTGGGAGAGTGGCGAGCGAGATCTGGGAGAGGGGAGAGAGGAACGAAAATATATGTATATATACAATTTTCTCTCGCTTTATACAAACACAAACACATTTTATACAATTTGCGTTTTTTGTATAAAGTGAGAGAGGCGGTGAGAGAGCAAGATCTGGGAGAGTGGCGAGCAAGATCTGGGAGAGGGGAACGAAAATGTATGTATATATACAATTTTCTCTCGCTTTATACAAACACAAACGCACTTTATACACTTTCGTTTGTATAAAAAACGAGAGAGGCGAGGGAGAGAACGAGAGTGGCGAGCGAGATTCACCAGGAGAGAGGTGAAATAGCAACAGTTTGCTATGAGGTATAATTAAATCAAACTATATTTATAACATTTAATTTGAATTAATAGTTTGCTATTATATACAATTTTCCCTATATTATTTACTCAAAATAATTCATGTTTATCGCATATTAATTTTAATAATTTGAACTTAAAAATACTCAAATTACTTCTTTGATCATTATGTCACACCCTGCACCAGAAAAGCTCAAGTAAATTCATCCATACAAAAATAATGACCTAATGTTAAACCAAATTACAAGAGACTACACTAGTCTCCAAAATGTTATACATTTTCTACCAACTAGCTGCAACACGATTATTTTACCTTTTGTCTCACATTCTAAAGTTCACGTATATATAAGGCTTATCTCTTTGCCTTCTTAATTAAAATGTTCATGTTGGAATTATTCTACTATATTAAACTTAATATTAAAATGATTGTTTGGTCTTCCTAAACTTTCTAAAATAATTATAATAATTGGTTATATTAACTCAATTAACATCTTTGGCTTATCGGATATCCTATTGGGTGTATTCACTTCAATATATTAGTGTGAGCTTGACATGTTTTTTTTTTTTTTTGGGGGTAATAATTATATATTGCAATTTGCATGTCATATTAGAACATAGTCCATATTTAGGTATAGCAAATACAAATGCAAATTTTGTACGTAGTTGACTTCCAATATTTAAATTTTCAATTTGTACGTAAGCTTTCAATGTATATATATGGTCCATAGGCGTGATTCAAAATCCAAAAAAAAAAAAAAAAACTTTGCTTTTTAGTTGGTTAACCAACTGGTCCAATTTCTTAAAGGCATGAATATGCACTTCCAAAAAAATAAAAAGAATTTTGAATATAAGCTTGCACTATTCCAATTTACAATCATCATAAAATTTTATATAGCCAACTTGACATTTAAAATCGACACGCCTTTGACAAAAGTATTAGAAGAAAAAAACAAGTCTATAACGTATAATTTACATTATGAATAATCAACTTAATGATTTTAAAATCCACCAAAGAATGTGATGCAGTAGATAAGGTTGCTCCTTTTTTAATCAAAGGTCTCAAATTGAAGCCTCGAAAAAATCTTTGATAGAGAGTAATTCCCTTGAATGAGGCCCTATGGCGGCACAAATAAAAAAATAAGCTCTAATGCGGATATCGAACATCAAAATAAAAAATAAAACTCTAATGATTTTAATCAAATGTACTTTGATTATTTACTATATATGACAGGGACAACAAAACCTAATAGCGTGCACATCGATCCAAAACCTTTTACACCTTTTTTACTTTCTTACCATCTTAATAGATTCATTATTTTATTGTTTTATGTTTTGTCATGATATTGATTTATGTTAGCTGTCAATCTAAATGTTCTTATGTTTTGAACCATTTTGCAAAGTTCAAAAGTAAATTTGATCATTTTCTCTCGTAAAAAAGGTGCATGTATGGGAAAGTTTTGACTGTTAATTAATATGGGCATGTGATTATAAATAAGGTGTGACTTTAAAAAGTTTCAACATAATATTTGATTTTGATATACTTTTGACTTTCAATTAAGAAGGAAGTGTGGTTCATCTTCTGGGTGAAAATCAAACTATTGGACATCACATCATGCTTAATTGATTTGCTTTTGGTAGTGAGTGAAAATTATTTGTCACATTTTTTTTAATTTAAAGAGTATTTTGATATATTTAATATATTATTAATTTTAAATTATAAGATTTAAAATTTTTATTTATTTTATTAAATTTATGTTAAGTTAAAATAAGATCAAACAAATTAAAACGAAGAAAAGTAGAAAGAACAATTTTCTCTTTTTTGACTTCTTAAAAAAATGAGGGGCAAAGAGAAGCTTCCTTTAGATTGAAAAGAACAATAAAAAACCAAAAGAATATTTATCCTTCTTTTTCACTAACAAAAAAGAAGTCAATGGTTTTATTTTTTTCTCTTATAAACTAAAGTGGTAAAACAAAAAAGATAAAGCAACATTTTACCTTTCTTTTACCATTTTATAGAAAAAGAAGCAAGGTTGAAGAAAGAAAATTGAAGACTGACTAACTTGATTGTGATGAAATGATTGATATTTTATTATTCTTAATGAAATGTTGATTCAAGAAGTTTCATGGAAAGAGCCTGTTAAAAAATGAATCATATATTATAAATTTAAATTAGTCAAACTTTAATATTATCGAAGATGGAATAAAAAAAGAAAAGAAAAATGGAAGACTGGTCAATTGGGAATCTTGAAGCAACACAAACCAACGCGTTTTCTTTGCCATTATTGCAGTCAAATGAACAAACACCAACTAATTCACAAAGTTCAAAGTCCAACCTCTGACTCACCAAACAACAACATTCAAAAAAACAAACAATTTCAACAAAAACACCAAAGAAAACTAGAAATTACTATCCATTGAACCAAAACAAAGCAAAAAGTTTCAATCTTTATTGATAATTTTTGGAATTGGAATGAAGAACAAGTCACCATCAGTACTACTCTGCTGTGTTTGTTGCCAATAAACAATCTTTGTATGGAGGATTCAAACCCCAAGAAAAGTTTAGCCCCAGATGCTTTAATTACTACTCTCAGCAACTCAATCCAAGCTCTGGGTAGGGGATTTGATGTCACTTCTGATATTAGGCTACTGTATTGTAAAGGGGCTCCAGGGTCTCGTTTAGTTCATCTTGATGAGGAAAATCGTGTGGATCTTTTGCACCCAGATGGGGGTATTTTGCTGCCAAATGTTACTGTAGACATTGAATGTTCACAAGAGTTGAGAACCATTGAGGCCACACCTGTTTTTACCTTCCATGAGGTCAGCTCACTTTCCTATCAATTTGGGAGTTTTTAGATTATGTGTGTGGTCCTCATCTTTTAAGTTTATTAAATGATGTGCTAAATTGGTTGTATTTATTTGGTTTTTCAATTTCTTAATTTTGTTTAGTAGGTAATTTTTTCTGCATTTGTTAAATAACTGTATTGGTAAGGGTTGGTATTAGTTTCTTGTTTTTGTGTAATATGGTAATGATGGTCAAGGTAAGATAAACTATTTGAGTTTAGGCTTAATGGAGATTTGGATGACTAGATCATAGTGATTGTACACTGCTGTGATTTTGGTGTGTACATATGATTCCCCTAATCTATATTTAATTGGATAGTTTCTCTGGTATTTGAATCATGGAGCTCTGCCACTTATTTGAAGACCCCTTTTTGGTGTCTATTTTCCTTACTTGGTGAAGTGGGGCTGTCTGTATTACTCAAAATGCTGGTTTTTTGGTTGTCCTCAAGCATGACTTGGAGGGGTCTCTACTTGTTTATACTGACAAATAGTGATGATAAAATGGTTACTACAGTAATCTCCAATGGGCATTCAAGGAGCTGTGCATAAAACTTTGATGAACTTGAAATGTTTTGAGAAGTAACCTATATGGAACTTTTGATGCGTTTATTTGTGACCAGGCCAAGAGTCATTGATATTTAACTGCACAAGATACCATCTTGCCACCTTATGTAGAAATTGTTGAAAATGCACGACATATAGCCAAGCGGATAGTTTTTAGTTTCCCAGTGGCAATTTTTTCTACTTCAGTATGAAAACATGCCATTTTCTAGATCAGTATATATTCTTCCTGAACCGTAGACACTATCTTTCATCAAAGATTCTGTCTTGGTTTACTTGCATGATCATTTTCTGAGGCTATGTTTCCCTTTTGCCAAATTTATATACTGATAGAAGGGGAGGTGTAATCAAAGTGCACGCGGGAAGGGACTCACCAACTATGAAAACTGAAAGAGTTTAAAAACACAATAGTGATGACCCTCCCCTCCAAAAATAGGCAGGTCTTTTTTGCTTTCTTTCCAGGATACCAACCTAGCTTCTGTTTTCATATTAAGCATTATCCATCTCACTATCTATGCTCCTTCTCCAGTGAGTACTTGCAGGAGATGTTTACAGTTTACTCCTGTCTCATTAATTATGTATTTAAATTGCCTCGTGCTTGAATTTCCAGATGGCAAAATACTTCAATGCAATCTCCAATATATCTGGTGATGTCCCACTTGGAAGCTTTAACTCCATGTTTAACTTCACTGGTTCATGGCAACAAGATGCAGCAGCTACTAAATCCCTTGCCATGATTGGACATGTTATCCCACTCTTTACAGTGAGATTGGTTAAGTTAGACTTACTTCTACGGGATGAAATTAAACGTGCTGTTCCATACTCTTGGGATCCTGCATCACTGGCAAGGTGAAGTATCTAACATCAACCTACATATCAACATTTTGGTTTTTAATGATTCTGTCATTTTCTTTTGATAGCAAGTTATTATCGCATTCAGATTTCTTTCTAATGATCAGGGAAGAATACAAGCAGTTGTCATTTCTCTATGGTGCAACTGTTGCATCTTTTTACTTTTCTTTTCTTTCTGAAATTGCATGAACTTGAGGAGGGGGAGACATATAACAATTTATAGGTCCCCGTGCTCCAGTACTATTGATATTCATGTGCTCCAAATAGTAATCCCCTTAGATTCTTACTGTTGTTAACCTTAATAGCTATGTGCAGCTAGAAGAATTTTTCTTTGCAATGCAAGCTTCTTATGCCCTGAACTTATGTATGCGAAAATTGTGGATGTATAATAGGCCAAAATGTGCTGAACTCTGTCTTTTCTGCTTTTTGAAGTACGCCTCATTATGGATATCTGTATGAGAAACAGCCTCACTGATCCAAGTATAAATTAAAGCATCAATTTTTTTGTCCAATTCTTCGCTGTTTCTGATTTTGATATTCTTCTTTCAGCTTTATTGAAAACTATGGCACCCATATTGTCACCTCCGCGACAATCGGTGGTAGGGATGTAGTTTATATTAAACAACACCAGTCATCTCCTTTGTTAGTTTCAGACATTGAAAACTATGTGAACGACATTGGAGAGCAGAGGTTCTGTGATTCGAAGAATCTCTCAAGTGCCGGACCTTTAAGATATAAGGACAAGGTTAGCATATATTATGTCTCAAATTGTAGGCTTTTGGATACAGTAGTGTTTAACTGACTTCTTGAAATCTGTTTCTTCAACATACTCCCATATTCTGTAAATTGAACATTCAAAATTATTGGAATTATCCTACTGCAGGATGTTACAGTTATTTTTCGCAGAAGAGGAGGTGATGACCTGGAGCAGAGTCACGACAAGTGGGCAAGCACTGTAGAGACATCACCAGATGTGATCAACATGACATTTACTCCCATTGTGTCATTTCTTGAAGAGGTGCCTGGAATAAAGTACCTGAGCCGCGCAATTGAGTTATACTTAGAATGTGAGTATTGTATCCTATTACTCTTCATTCCTCTTTGTTTGCATGCAATTTTGATTCATTCTCTACTGGTTTACCTTTCTAAATCAAATGAGCAAGAACTCCAAGAAAATAGTTAATATTGGTAATCCAGAATGGTTGTACTGTAGTTCTTGAGGATTGCTCTTTCGTCTTCAGATGCATCTCAAATAGTCCTCCCACCGACCCAAAGAGCATGATGGGGTCTGGAAGACTAGGGTCAAATCATCTATTTATTTTTTGTGAAATAGATGTTACGTATTTAGAAACTACACATAGTATTCACAGCTTTTATAGTTAAAAGTACTTGAAAATGTTTGAAAAGAACTGTTTGAATCCCTAAAACTAACATTGTTCTATAAAATGGGAAAAGGGAGTAGCAGAAAAGCCATATTCCAAGTCTTTTATGTTCTTTAGAATAAAAGATTTCGCAGCTCTCTGAGTTGATGGGACTTCAGGGTCCGTCATCCATGGGGGGATGAGTGTTGGAGAATGAAAAGCTAGCATGTGAATAATTTCCATGCATGTGTAGGCTGAGAATCCCATATTTGTGCTCTAAATATGAGTCAAACTTCTCAGAACATGTTTTTTCGTTGTCTGATGTATTTAATTACAATTTTTTCAGACAAGCCACCAATAGAAGATTTACAGTATTTTTTAGATTTCCAAATAGCTCGTGTGTGGGCTCCAGAGCAAAATAACCTTCAAAGAAAGGAGCCTGTATGTTCATCCCTACAGTTCAGTTTGATGGGTCCTAAACTCTATATTAGCCCAGATCAGGTATTCTTCAAACTTTTGTCCAGATTTGTGAACATATCACTATCTACAGGTTTAACATTGAATTGCCGAAGGATCTTGTTATTCCAACATTGCATGCTGTAATTTTTTTCTTTCATATGGAGGACCTAAATGAAGAAGTACGAACTGGAATAACTCTAGAAAACTTCTGATTAATCCAGTGCAAGTCCATTAGGTAACAACAACATACCCAGTGAAATCCCACTAGGTGGGGTCTGGGGAGGGTAGAGTGTACGCAGACCTTACCACTACCTCGTGGAGGTAGAGAGGCTGTTTCCGGGAGACCCTCAGCTCAAGAACATCAAATCTAAGTTACAGGAGAGCTATATATAAAACATAACAACCAATCCAAAAGATAGTGTATAATCAACAAATGATACAATAACATCAAGAAAGTAATGTGAGGAGTGAAACGCAGTAAACAGCAATACGGCTAGGACTACTCCAAACGCTAACAACCCATACCCTCGCGAGGCACTTGTGATAATCCCATGCCCTGCTAATTTTTCTTTTCAACATTATATTTTACAATCTTAATAATTAAGCAGATTGAAACCAAAAAATGTGCAACTGTAACGTCATGATGAATTCATATGTAGTAAGCTGACAGAATACCGTCCGAGTACAATATCTAAAAGGTTTAATAGTGGACTAGCTCAGTAAATGTTGATTCCCTTGTTTAATGGTAAATCAACTAGAAGTCTAATGTACTGTAGCATATTTTTGTTCTTGAATGGTGAGGAATTAAAATTGTCACAACTATCTGACTGCTGAGGTTTTCTCCGGAATGTGGATTTAGGAACAACTCTCTAGTAACGGTCCTTGACATGCATTTGGAACTACCATGTTAATGTAGTTGAAAGATGCATTTGTTTGCAATCACAACCTCAAAATTTTCTTGTGAACATTCCTTATAACTATCTAAAATAAATTTTATAGTCCTTAACATTGGTTGACTTGTATGGTCGACTGCCCCAACTAATGTAATCAGTTCCTATTCGGCAGCACTGCTACTTGTATCATGACAATTTGACTATCATCATAGGGAATGCAATGCAGCAATAGATGAACCAGAAACAATATGTAAAGTAGAACAAATTAGATATCATTTGCCGTTTACCCTAGAATTTGGTAAATTAATCAGCAGCATTGAACATCAAGGAGCTCTCTGAAAACAGAAGTTACTTACATGGAAACAAAAATTGAATATACTCATGTGCACACGCACATACGCGCATGTTTGTGTTAGCATTTTGAGCAAAGTGAAACCCTCCAACATGGTCAAAGCAACTCGTGCTCAAGGTTCACATGAAAGATATCTTGCCTTGAATGGCTCCCACACTTCGTTTACCTTGTAATGTTGTTGAAATGCTTTCTTACCAATTCATAAATAATGGATTAATCAGAAGAGTACTATTCTGATGATCCCAAACATTGTCTTTATAAGAGAGCGACATAGTAGTATGATTTAGAATTTTTATGTCGCAATATGAGCTGGATCTAAGCATAACATGAAGGAGCTTATGTGTTAAACAAATAAGAAACTACAAGAACATTGCGCCTCAAACCATGAATATTGCAGAAGTATAAATGCATTGGTATAGCGAGCTGATCTACTAGGTTGGGGGATTACTGGATGGCTATCTGTGTGGAAATCTTATCTAGATAAGTGTTGATCAATATCAACTCGTTGCAAGTTCAAATATTATTCTTTCACTAAATCACAGCACCACTTTTTCAGGTGACAGTGGGTCGTAAGCCAGTGACAGGGCTCAGGCTCAGCCTAGAAGGTAACAAGCAGAACCGTCTTTCAGTCAATTTGCAGCACCTGGTTTCTCTTCCCAAGATCCTTCAACCCCACTGGGATGCACACATGGCTATAGGTGCCCCAAAATGGAAAGGTCCTGAGGAGCAGGATAGCAGATGGTTCGAACCAATCAAATGGAAAAATTTCTCCCATGTAAGCACAGCACCAATTGAACATACTGAGACTTCCATTGGAGATCTCTCTGGAGTTCACATTGTAACGGGGGCTCAGCTTGGTGTTTGGGATTTTGGTGCCAAGAGTGTCTTGCATCTTAAACTCCTCTTTTCCAAGGTACCTGGCTGTACAATAAGAAGATCGGTATGGGATCACAGTCCATCAAATCTATCAGCAGTACAAAGGATTGATGGTTCTTCAACTTCACTTCAGAACGAAAACAAGAAAGGTGATACTTCCAGCCAAACAGGGAAATTGGCAAAAATTGTAGACATGACAGAAATGTCAAAGGGGCCACAGGATGCACCAGGACACTGGTTGGTAACAGGAGCTAAACTTGGAGTTGATAAAGGAAAAATTGTGCTAAGAGTGAAGTATTCCCTGTTGAATTATTAATGCGTTGTGTTGTATGTGAGATTAAAGCATTCTTTGGATAGTTTAGATATCATGTTATTCTTCTGTAAATTATGTTAGCATTGATCATTCATTTTTGTTAAGGCTATTTTATAGCCACCAGATCAGTGTACTACTTTTGGGTGTATACTATGAAAAAATTCCAGGATCTTACTAACTTTTTCTGTATTGAGACTGAATTAAAAATGTTTTTTTTTTTAAAGTCTTGATTTAAATTTTTTTTTTAAAAAAAAAGTCAAAATCAGACAAACGAATTAAAATTGGAGTACCAACTAATCTATGACATGCTAGTTAATGCTACGTGGGATCTAAACAAAGTATCCACGTCCTTTCTTCCACCTCTATAATTCTCAGTTTCTCTTCTCTCCCAAATCATAGAAAAATTGAGTACTCTTCAATTTTTTCGTCATAAACCATATTATTTATGGCTTCTAGTGATGAGGCACCAGGGGCGATGCCTCCAGGTGACGGCTCTGTTCCTCCAGGAAAATCAATGTCAATTGGGCAGCATGTTATAGACAAAGGCGCTCAATTGATGCAGTCCTTGAAACCAATCAAGCAGATGAGCCAACATGTTTGCACTTTCGCTATGTACAGTCATGATATCACTCGACAGATCGAGACTCATCACTATGTGAGTCGAGTCAATCAGGATTTCCTCCAGTGTGCTGTTTATGATTCCGACGATTCTAAAGGACGTCTTATTGGTAATTCATTTTTTGTTCTAGAAATTAATTGACTCCTGGGTTCATTTTAATTCTTGATTTGTTTGATGTTGAGTCGATCTTCTCACTATTTCACTGATTCCTATAGCATAATTTTTTCATGAATTTGCTGTGAAAAAAACCTGTGGACATGCAAATGGTGATTAGTTTCTGTCTCGGCTGGCGATGGGAGCTAGCTTTAAAGTTTGAATTAAGCCGATGATATCGGTTGTAGTGAATGTTTGTGATAGTGCAGGAATAGAATATATAATATCAGATCGAATCTTTGAAACTCTTCCAGCAGAAGAACAGAAGCTCTGGCACAGTCATGAATACGAGGTAATTGATTTCAATTTTGTCATTTAACTCGTTCTTAAATTCTTTGACATTCTAAATTATTCAAAAACTTTGTACTAATTGACAAATTAATACTTTTAGGGGTAAAAGTCCTATTTGCAAACTCTGAATATTTTGAATGTACAGATTATAGCAGGACTTTGGGTGAACCCAAAAGTTCCAGAGATGGTCCAAAAGCAAGAACTGAAGAATCTTGCTCCAACTTATGGCAAGTTTTGGTGCACCTGGCAAGTTGATCGAGGCAAGTCCTAATACCTTTATTTCCTTTAGTTTTGAGAAATTATGCCTTTGAATGGTATGTTTCAACACAAAAAAAAAAAGAAATAATCTTTCCGTCTGAAATGCTGAGACTCGTCCCCAGGCTTAAACTTGTTGAAATTGCAGCTAGCGAGCTTGACTAATAAGATAGAAAAGGGCTTTTCTCGCTTGTTTGAAGCCATATAAGGTTTTTCTTCAATTGGCAAACAAGGGGGGCCGAGGTAATGCTTTACCCCATAGCCCTGGGGATATTTATAACTAACCGATTAAGAAGTCTCAGACGTACTAGCACTCATCAATTCTCCCATGAGGAACCCCTTTTTGTTATGCTACTAATACTTACTCTGCTTTCAAATACCCTTTTCTGTTTAGAACCTCAGTCCTATAATCGAAATAGGATCTATTTGCCTGAACCTTACTTCTCTTTTACTGCTGGGGTCATCTCTCTATGTTAAAATACAGTAAACAATCTACTATCACAGGTTATAAATAAGACACTATACATTAATGTCGTCCGAGATGTTGCCTGACATAGGAAAAGTGTCATTTTGTGGTGGTGGTTCAGGTGATAGGCTTCCACTTGGAGCACCTGCATTGATGATGTCTCCACAAGGTGTAAATTTGGGCATGGTGGCACCAGAGCTGGTGAAGAAGAGGGACGAAAAATATGGCATTTCTTCAAAGGATTTGGAAAAGACAAGGGCCGATATTGCAGGGCCAAAGACGACCATGAATCCTTATGCAAACTACTGGATGCAAACTGGCAAAGGCTTTGCCATTGATGTGGAACTCACTGATATGAAAAAGACTGCACCTTTTCCATGAGAAATATAATCAATTAGTATAGTGATCTCTATATATATGCATCAAGTATTAGTATAGTATATCCCATGCTTTCATGTGTTGAATAATGTAATTGATTGAACGTCTCTTTTAATAGTAGCATAACTCTTGAACTCACCACTTCAAAGTTGAAAGTGAAAGTGAGGAGTGTTTACTATCGGAACAACTCTGTTTTGTCGGTAATAATATATTGAGCATATGATATTGATTAAATATATCAAGTACATGTATCACCTTAGGCCATCGAGTTTCAATGTCATATAAACTCATAATAACCAATTAATGGAACGCAAATGTGTAATGTCATGATTAAATATGTATATTACTCGTCCGTTGCAATGTATATACTATAATTTATACAATATCGTTTAATTATGTATGAAATTTAAGAGGTAAAAAAAGTGAAACTTGTACTTTAAAAAAACAAGTCTTAGATATTCGTTTCAATTTATTTGTATGGTTTGTTTCAATTTATTTGTATGGTTTGATATAGAAATAATAAAGATGATTTTAAAATTATGTTCACTATAAAATGTGGACCACTAAGCTTCGTAGGCCGAGGCAACTCCGCAGCAGAGATTCAAATTCAAGACTTTTAATTAAAAATGAAAGAGTGTTTATCACTTCCTCGTATGATGTTATTGAATAAGACAGAATATGTTAATTGTTGTTTGTCTTTCTATGATCTTTTGTCCTTACTCTCTGTATCTTGATGAACTCTATCCATGATTCTATCCATCTCACATAAAGCACAAATACTGAATACGTGTCACCAAATGCTTAACACGCGTTACTACGTGGCATTCAATTGCCACCTCATACCTCTTGCATGTCCACCTGGCAACATATCCCACAAATCCTCTTCAAAATCCCCTGAAAATAGAACATCATCATCTTTCCAGAGCAATCTCCAATCTTTCCATAATAAAAACTCTTCCAAACTTTAATTTTTTTTCTTAGTTTTTTTTTTGTTTTGATCCAATCTATGGCTGCAACTACGGCAGGGAGCCATGGGGAGCAGATACCGCCAGGAAAGGCCATGACAACGGAGCAACACATACTGGATAAAGGTGCTCAAATGCTGCAGTCTTTGAAACCAATTAAGCAAATGAATCAACATGTTTGCACTTTTGCACTCTACAATCATGACATGAATCGACAAATTGAAACTCATCATTATGTCACACGACTCAATCAGGATTTCCTCCAATGTGCTGTTTACGATTCTGATCATTCCACCTCCCGACTTATCGGTATTTATCCTTTTATTATTCAGATTTGCCTTTTTCATTTTGGAATTTCTATTTTGCTAATAACTGATGAATTTTTTGTGTGAAGGAGTTGAGTATATAGTATCTGATCGTATCTTTGAAACCTTACCTAAAGAAGAACAGAAACTTTGGCACTCTCATGCTTACGAGGTTTGTTCCTTTTTAGTAGTACTAATTTGCAATTACTTATTCAACCGTACAACAATTTGATGCCCAGAACTAGGCTCGCACCCAAGATCCCTGGTCTGGTTTGGTTAAGGATGGAACAGTCCAACTAGCTAGGATATTATTCAATTCCTTCATTTTTTTTCTTTTTTCAATTGATCTCTCTTGGTTCTACCCTATATATACGGTAGATTTTGAAATATGAGTATTTTGCAATAAATTGAGGAACTTATTTGTTATTTGATCTTTGGTGGAAATGGGGCAGGTAAAATCAGGACTGTGGGTGAATCCTAGAGTTCCAGAGATGGTAGTGAAAAAAGATCTTGAGAATTTTGCAAAAACGTATGGAAAATTCTGGTGCACATGGCAAACAGATAGAGGTAACGGTAACATTCCTGATTCGAGTGTTCACAGCATAAATCAAAAGATATATATTCCTGATTTTGTTTATATATTTAATGTGGGAGGAAATAGGCGATAAGCTACCAGTTGGGCCACCATCACTGATGATGTCTCCACAGGCGGTGAATTTGGGGATGGTGAAGCCAGAGCTAATCCAGAAGAGAGATGACAGGTACAATATGTCGACTGATGCAATCAAGAGAACGAGGCTGGAGATAGCGGAGCCAGAGTGGATTAATCCTGAGGCGGATTACTGGAAACAGCACGGCAAATGCTTTGAGATCCATGTTGAGGATGTAGAAATGAAGAAGATAGCTCCTTTCCCATAGATCAAAGAGTGCATGCTAGCTAGCAGCAGCAGCAGATTAATAAGTCAAAGATTTTGACATTATATATACTAGTCTTGTTTCTCTTTTTCGGTTTTGTAAAATAACAACGAATGTGTTTTTACTTTGACGTATGTTTCTATTTAAACAAATTTAAAGAGAACTTGAGGCCTTGTCGTTCGAACTTAATTAACCAGGTCATGTGTGAAGCCATATAACCTGAAAGTTGCAACATCTCAAAATAAAAAATAAAATAAAAATCCTCATACTAATTGAAATAAAGAGTAATTTCTTTTAGCAAATTATTTGGTTTTAACCCAACTGTGCCGTCTTTCAAAATGAACAACTTAACGGAGGGCTTATGGTAAGCACCTCATCCTCTTTAAGGTTACAAGTTTGGTCACCAACAAAGTAAAAAAGGGTGCACTTTCAACTAAAGATTGCGAGTTTGAATCATCACGGGAGCTAAAAAGGGTGGAGCTTCTAGGGTGGATAAAAGTAATAATAAATTTTTTGAAGAACTTTATAAAACTTAAGGGAAAATGATTCTAAATATATTCGAATTTTAATCGATATTGCGCTAACAATTCTAAACTTTGGACAATATTTATTATCTTGTATAATTTAATAGTGTATTTTAAAAATATATAGATATTTAGTAGACATCATAAATATTGCATAATTGTAAATAGTAACTTGTCAAGCTGGACACTTATATATCTTTAAAATATACTATTCTATTAACTAGTGCATGAGTAATAGCTCCTGTTCAAAATTTGAGATTGTAATTTCGATGAAAGTTTGAATATATTTCAAACTTTTTTTCTTTAAAACTTATTAGGAACAGGAAATGTAAAGGGTTTGTGAAAATTCTTTCACTCAACAAAAAGACAATTAGTGAATATTAAAAGTTGGTATCATTATATTAAATTTCTTTAAAATATTTAACACAATTATGCTATATTGCTGTTAAATCTGGTAGAGTTTTGCCCCTGCATGGGACTATAAATATTCGGAACAAAAAAAAGGATATTCTGGAATTGAAAAATACCACCGCGCTTGGTGAGCATATATCCATTAGTGAAATGATCGAAACGAATAATAATTGAAGATAAATGAAACCATAAAAATCAATTCTTGACACCCAAAATTGTTTAATTTCATCTATTTTACATCAGATCCCTTGGTTTTCGTCATCGATTTCCAATTATTTCAGTATAATTCTCATGGAGGCTGATACAACTATTATGCAGCAGGTACAAATCAGTGAAGCAGTATTGGAAAAACATGTTTACTCTGTTTGGGCTCTGCCGAGGGAGGATGTGAGAGTTAGGGTCAAAAAGTTGATGGAGGGTCTCCGATCTGAGTTTGGTGGGCCCCAGTTTGAACCTCACGTGACCGTCATCGGAGCTATTCGGTTGACGGAGGCCGAGGCACGTGACAGGTTCAAAAAAGCTTGTGAGACAGTGAAAGCTTATAGTGCTACAGTGGAGAAGATAGATACTGGCACTTTCTATTATCAGTGTGTTTACCTTTTGCTTCATCCAACCACTGAGGTAAAATTTTGCAACTTCTTGACTGGTTTTAGGTTTTTATTGGTTGATTTTGTACTGTTCTTGGTAATTTCAAATACCTAGTTTTTCTTTTCAAAAAGTGAAATTAAGAAAAATGTTTGTATTTTGACCTGGTTTGATGAACAATGTTATGTTTTTTCATCTTGTGTGCTGGTAATTTGTTCAATGGCTTGTTAAATATTTGATGTCGAAAATGGTTGATCTTTTGGCTAATGGGAGCTTAAACAAAGAATACAAGGAAATGGGGAATTTTGCAATCAACAATGTGGATTATTTAGTAAGATAACGTACTGAAATGTATCTAATCGTAATGTGTATAATTGCATAGATATTTGGAATGTCAATAGGGCTGCCTAGAGTCACTAGAATGACGGAAGTTAGTGCATAAGAAATGAAAAGTCATGGCTTCGGATGTGTAAAGCTCTGAACTTTTCCTTTAAGACGAAAGATCTGAACTTGTAGTTGAACGTACGAACTGGGGTGCTAGTCCTATTAAAATCTACTTAAAACGTCAGTAGTATGATCATGAAGCAATTTTCTACCTTCTGGTCTCGTATTCATATATGGTATTTATATGTGCTTAATCTAGTATATGAAAATTGCTAGTTGGATTGAGTGTTCATTGTCTACACTTGCTATCGCCTGGATAGAAATCAATTGTACACACAGGGTATTAGTGCACGGGTTTGGAGCAATAGAGGTCAAATACATTAGTGTAACTGAAAGCATTTCTTTTGAGATGGTATGATAGTACTATAAATTGCAGTGGCCAAAACAGAATACATTTCCATATTGGTAGCTTTCTTTTCCGATTTCTTCACCCTTTGTTGTGAAAACACCCTGATTATGTAGTGAAAGCTTTTGCTTAAAGGACAGAATAAAGACAGAAGAAAGTGATGAAGTATACATGATATAATAATTGAGATTAGACTGTTCTTCATTAAAAATATAAAGCATTAGCGATATGAGATTCAATTTTCATTGGCACTATGCCTAAGCTAGGCATCTAGACAAATGAAGAGAACTGGAAAGTTGCAAAAACCACCTTCTCTGTTTGTTCTGTATAGGAAAGGAGGCAGATGAAAGAACCAAATCACTTTCCCTTGAGCCTACATATCTACTTCCCTGAGAAAGATAAGCTGAAAAAGTTTCGGTCACATCCTTATTTTCTCACCCAGAACAAACAAAGAAAATAACATAATTTTCTTTCAACTTTCACCTCTATCTTGCCTCCTCATATTTTCCCTTTTGTGTCTGTTCCATTTTCTTATTTCGTAGAAAGGTAAGTTTGTGTGTTAGAAATGATAGCAAAGTATGAGGAGAGACTGAAACATGGAAGTGTAATGAAACTTTTCCTTAAGAGATGCCAAAGGCTTACATTTTTGTCACATTCCCTAGGAAATGAAGGCAAGTCGACTAAAAATGTCCGTGTAGAGTTTCTAAATTGGAAGCAATGCCTGAGAAGGCAGTCAAACAGGCTTTGAGACTCATTCAAAGTCAGATGGGCTCTAAATTCCCTGAGTCAGTTATGTAGAGAAAAGTATCATTGGGTAATGCTTTTGTAGGTGGTCTATAGCCTTGTGCACGCTTTAAGTTTCGAAGTGTTAGCTCTATACCCTTGAACACCCTATACATGCTTTACACCTTTGATTTTCGTCCTTGAGAATCCTTTTTCATTTTCTTTCAATTAGTTGGGTATTACTTATATACGGTAATATCTTCTCATTTCCTGAAATTCCAAATTTGGTAACAAGTATGTTGTCATGTACATATATTATTATGTCTAGATACTTCAATTTATTTCATACATTTTTTTGGGTGGAGAAGCAGTCTTTTTCACCATGCTATGTTGATTTAAAAAATAAGTGCAGAAGCAATCTTATGCTTTACAATGTTTTGTTTGTGTACAAATTTTGGTGCAATTGCTGACATCAGTGACCTGATATCTGTTCTCCTCTTCCAGGTTGTGGAAGCAAGTGCTCTCTGCTGCAGTCACTTTGGTTACAACAGATCAGGATGTAAGATAAACATTCGTTCTTTAGATTTTGTGCCCATTCAGCTTCTATAGTCTCAAAAAGTGTATTTCCCTTTGTTATCTTTTTTTGAGTACAACAACGACTACTGCTATGCCTCAGCCCAAAACAAGTTGTGGATTATCTTTTCCTAGATGCCTTCTTGAATCATAGAACTTAGAATATGGAGACAACACTCATCCCTTTTTAATTTCACCAAAGATTGCACTGTACAACTCAGTAATCTTACGCACACAGATTTTGAACTTCCTAAGTAGTAACAAAAAAAAGCTCCCCCTGCTTTCTATTTCCCTCCTCAATTTGCTTACAGTCCTTCACTTCTGTAGTAAAGCCGTCTTTCGAGCTCTCATTCCCACCTTATTTTCTGCCTCCTTGCCCCACTCTCCATCATATTCCCCACTCCGTGAATGAACTGCTTTAGCTTTAAGATAGCAGAAGGAAGCTCATTGGATATTTAACAGAGAGAACATGTCAAATACTAAAACCATAATTCAAAAACACCGATGCTAGTCTACCATTTGTGTCCACTTCTTAAAAACGCTGATTCTTTAGGGTTCTAGCACATCAGTTTTTGAGTTTGGTAATTTCAGAAGAAGTTATTCACTCCTGCCTTGCCCCTTCTTTAGTTTTCTTTCAACATTGTCATATGGGCTAGATTTTCTGTGGCTGATATCTTACTTTCGTGATCGTGCAGCATATATGCCACATTTGAGCCTTCTTTATGGAGATTTAACCGATGAAGAAAAGAAGAAAGCTCAAGAAAAGGCTTATATCCTAGACGAAGGCATTTCCAGCTTGAGCTTCCCGATATCTCATCTTGCATTGTGTAAAACAGACACTGATGACAAAAGCTGCAAATCATGGGAGACGGTGGAGGAGTGCTCTCTTCAGCCCTAAGTAGCATTCTAAAAGCTAATAACTCGTTGGCCATGAGCCAAATCTCATCTTGTTTACATTTTTACCTTACACACCTTGAACTGCAGCTGCAAGGTTGAACTTTGCTAGACTTGTACTATTACTCTTTTTATGTGCCATAAATAAAAACCTTTAGTACTATTGGCCTTTCCTTTATATGCGTTTAACTAGAACAGGCAAAACAGAGGGGCAACAACATAACAAACTCAGTATAATCTCACAGGTGGAGTCGGAGAAGAATAGAATATACACAACAGACTTTACCCTATCTTATGGAGGTAGAAGGATCGTTTCTACAAGACGTAATAAATATTAGAAGAAACATTACATAACATTCAACAAAATAATGTGATTATCAAAATACAAAAAATAATAACGCAAAAACCAAAACTCAAGAAACAATCAGTAATAATTGCAAGACAAAGAAACTAGGTTGAGTACTAAAGGAGAAACAGGTATGGGGCACTAAACTATCACCAAGCCTATACAGCTAGAAAGCGAGACAATCATGCTTAACTACCAATACTAGTTGTCTACTCTAATCCACGACAAACATATTCAAAGAACATTTAAGATTCTTCAACACTTAACATCTGATTTTTTATTCAAGAAGGCTCCAACAATTCCCACTTGCTAGTGGTACATTGAACAGCGGGAATAAGTTAAAACACACGAAGTTTTAGGAAATCGAAATGTAATTGGATTATTATTTTTTGGTCAATTTTGTTGAAGAAACATTTTTAGCATACACATTCTTTTTACAAATTACTCTTTCGTATTATTAGTGAAAGAAATATGTAACAGAGACATGTAATTTATAAGATAAGACTCGAAAAAAATATTTTTCATGAAAAAACAAAATAATTATATTTTCCTTAATAGACGTAGATAGATAAGTGATGAAAGTCGAATCCAAGATAATTAAGTAAACAATAGATATATAAAAACTATAAAGAAAAGAATAGTTCTTCAAGTTCAACTTGTACAACTGCAAATAGTCATGCTAATAATTAAATGCATGTGAATTATTAAAATGACTTTTAAGCTTAGTTATGACTTTATGATATGGATGAATATTAGCTAGCCATTGATTTTTTCTTTAATGTCAACTTTGATTTTTATTCAACCTGACCAGCTAGAAAACAAGACGGTATATACCTTCAATAAACTTTTTGTTGAAATATTCAAAATTATGTAGGTGAATAAGAATATCTGCATATACGAAAATACCAAGGATACCGTATAATAATTAAAAAAAACAAATACTCCTAGTGCCATAGTATATGATAAGGGTAAAATAGAAATTGCAAAACTGGGACCACCTGAAATATAAAAGAGATGTGTATTAACTAGTAAGCATGGTCAATCATCCAAATCTACTCCTATATAATTTGTCGTAAGAAAATATAAATTGATAAGATTATCTCAAATTAAAAAAAACATTATAAAATGAGAATAGATAATAATAACATAGTCGATATATATTACAAATGGACATGGTTGATTTTCATTTTGAACATAAATATCGTGTTTTCTTTTACTATTTTCGTTTCAATTTATGTTACATGTGGTATCTGTTTGAAGGACAATTTTTTTAATTCAAATTGCAAATGATTATATTAATTTTCACTTATTCAAACAGTAAGGTCCAAATTTCAAAATTGGGGGTTAGAATTTGCCAGGGCAGTAGAGCGCGTGGGGTATGGAACAAATAATATATTATGTCACAGTCATTAATTTGGCTGCCAATGAGTTGTAAAATAAAGTTGCACTTTGTTATTGTATGTTGTGCCAACTCAAACATCAAAATAACGTGTCTTTATGGTCTGACGTTCGAATTGTAACACTAACCTCCAATTGAGTTCAAGCTTTACATTTTGTTCGATTGGTGTTAAAAAAGAATTTAAAAAAATTGTACATTGATGATTAATAAAATGAGTGATCTCTGTATAAAATTTGGATAATATCTTTCTTTGTGTTAGATTTTAAAATGTAAGTTAGGTTCAAGATCTAGTTTTACATGGTATTAGAATGCAAGCGTCAAAACTATTTATATTCATAAAAATTATGGTTCCAAGGATCTCTTATGAACGAGATCCTAATTTGTGAAAGTGAGGAAACTATTAGAGGACTAAATTATCTAATAAAAAGACCTTGTGAAGTGCACGAAATAAAAAGTGCTAAGAAAAATATAAAGAGAACTCTTTTACTCCCTCCGTCCATAATTATTTCGCAGGTATACTAAAAATAGATGTCCAAGATTAATTGTCAATTTAAACAATCAAGAAATAATTAGTCATTTTTTTCCAATTCTGCCCTTAATGATAGTGTAGTTTAATTGAAAAGTTATGTGGACTTTTGATATTCTTGGTATAGTAGGGTTATATTAGTCAAATTACACCTTGTATTAAATTTTCCTTGAGATATGTGCATGACCTTATCCTGACAAACAATTGTGGACGGAGGAAGTATATCATTGCCGAAAGTATTTCAAAAGGAAATATGTATGACATAAGATAAAGTAAACAAAAAGAAAGTGCACCCTTGACGCGGATTCCCGTGCCATTCATCTAAAAATAAAATAAAATAAAATAAATTAGGTTAATTTTAAAGTTCAAGTCCACAAGTTTTATTTAGATTAATTTAAGGTTTTTCTTCTTAAATCATATAGTCTCTCTGTTTTAATTTAGTTATGATCTTTTAAAGTACTCCTAATTGATAGACTCTTAATTCCAACTAGAACTAATATAACTAAAGCAAATTAATTACTAAAGCAATACGAATCCATAACATAAGGCATGACTAGCTTGACTTAGTATTTAAGTAAATCCATAAAAACAAGTTATGATGAGTTTGACTTGAAATTCAAGTATTATCCCATTAAATTTGTGGGTTAATTTAACTTAAGATCATGTTGAGTTGAGGTCAAAGTATTCCTTTATTTTGTTTTGAAAGCAACCAAAGAAATGGTCAATATTATCGCAATCTAATTCAAGGCAACAAAAACTTTCAAGTTTAAATAATCAAGAATGCAAGTTGATTAATTACTTAATTATAAAATGCAAAGAGCCATATAATACATACTACATGTAACTTCATTCCATGTTTTAATCAAGTTTCAGTCATGTGACGGGAGGATAAAATAAGAAAACATAAAGATGACACCGTTTTAAAAAGAAAATAATATATAAATTACTAACTTTTTGAAAAGTATAAATATTAATTGCTATCCCTTTTTTGTCGTGAAATAGTTAAAATGCACAATAAACTTATTTTTTCAACCTTAATCATGACAAAAATATCAACTTAATATTTTATGTATAAATTATATATTTTTTAAAATTTACTCATTTCGATCCGCAACTTATAAATTAATTAATCCTTAGCCACCAAATTAGAAAATATAAGTTCTCCATACGTTTGAACACCCCCTTAAGAATAAAAATATGCTGAAACAACCCCAATATTTAGATGAAATTACAAACTGGTCCCGTTCGTTACAGTTGGTTTAACTTCCCTTCCGACCAACTTGCGCGTTGTTTCGCGTAAAATCAGATTCTTCACCAGACGCATCCATTAACGCGTGAGTACCATGCACCTTCTTCCTTATTTTCCAATTGTCAACGTCTACCAATCCCCACTTTTTTTCCTATTTTTTTCACTTTGCTAAAACCCTTGGCAAAATGGTCTGGTGGACACTTGTACTTGTATGAATTTGTATTATAAATCCTTCTACTTACTTGTTTGTCAATTGAACCCTTAAACTCAACAAAACACAATTTAACAAACCCTTTTGACCATTGACAGGCTTATGTGACGGTAGATATCTGAGTTGGCAAAAATGTGTAACTACACGCCTATTAAGGCGAGTGAGGAGTTTTTTACTTGAAAAATATTTAAAATTATAAAAGATATAATTTTTTAAAACCATTAATTAAAAAAACCATCTTCTTCACCCTTAACACCTCCTTTCAGCTATATCCATCCCTACCCAACCCCTTTTACTTTCTTTTCCAGAAGCTATTTTCATCTATTTAGATGATCTTGGACACCTCCTTGAGTCCAAATTACCAACGGAGGGAGAGAGCGGCACTAGTGGTGCTCGCCGGACACCACTGATATGCAGTGGAGGGAGAGAGAGAGAGGTGTGGCTGGTTAGTGGAGAGGAGAACAAAGCGAGTGAGGGTGCGAGGATCTAATCATGGTGGCGAAAATGGTGATGATGTGCAGCGGAGATGAAGGCGAAAATGGTGATGGTATTCGGCTAGATCTAATGTGGTGGCTTAGGTTGTCGGTTTTGTGGAGGTTGGAGGAGGAAAGAAAAATGGTGATGATGAAGGCGGAAGGAATATGAGTGCCTTCGATGGCAAAAATGGCTACGACGGTGACGGCTTGGTTCACATGAACAAGTGGGAATGGAAGAAATTGTAATGACTTTTACTTTAAAGAATATAATTAAATTTCTATTATTTTACCTTTAATTAAACAATTTTGATTAATAATTTTAAAAATAATTATGACATGACATTAATATATCTGATGTGATTATGACATGTCATTTATATAAAGGAGAGTGAGTTACACACATGGTTGGAGGGGTTTAAAATGCTCATTTTGATTGAGTTTAAGAGTTCAGTTGACAAATGATTAAGTTATCCATACGCTTGAACACCCCCTTAAGAATAAAAATATGCTGAAACAACCCCAATATTTAGATGAAATTACAAACTGGTCCCATTCGTTACAGTTGGTTTAACTTCCCTTCCGACCAACTTGCGCGTCGTTTTGCGTAAAATCAGATACTTCACCAGACGCATCCATTAGCGCGTGACACGCACCTTCTTCCTTATTTTCCAATTGTCAACGTCTACCAATCCCCACTTTTTTTCCTATTTTTTTCACTTTGCTAAAACCCTTTGAAACTCTCAAAAACATCAAATTCTTATCCTTTTAAATAGCCCCCATTGATAGCTAAGTCTCATTTTTTTTTTGAAGTAGGTTATCTTTGAACTGTCTTGTTCAACTGTTAAATTTTCCAAAAAAAAAGAAGAAGAAAAATCTATTCTTTTTCAAGTTTATTCATCTCTGATCCTAAATTTGGTTGAAATAATAAGTTTCAAGAATACCCTTTTGCCATCTTTGGATTCTTGAAAAGCTTTAGTGTGAAGCATTAAGTTTTGCTGACACCCTTTTGCAGATTTTATATTCTTGAAAAGCTTTGATCTTTTTTGTTTGTTTTGTGCTTCTGAAGCTGTATGTTCTTTGTTACTACTTTTTAAGTCAAATTTACGTTTTAGTAGTTTTTTTTAGGTAGAGTGGCTGCAGATCTTAAAAGGGGTTCAAGTAAATTAGTTGTTGGAATCTTGATCTTGAAATGGAACCAGTAAGATTCTTGTTGGGTAAGCAATCGTCCCTTGCACCAGAAAAGGTGATTGCGGCAGTGGAGATTGAGAGTGAAGATGGGGAGGAAGGGGATGTTATAGATATTGATCCAAGGATCAGGTTGATGTATTCTGCTAATGAGGGTGATATAGAGGGGATTAAGGAGCTTTTGGATTTGGGCACTGATGTGAACTTTCGAGACGATGATGAGAGGACTGCCCTACATGTTGCTGCTTGCCAAGGTTACAGTGATGTTGTGCAGCTGTTGGTTGATAATGGGGCTGAAATTGATTCCGAAGATCGCTGGGGAAGCACGGTATATCTCATGAAACTAGTTTTATTATCATATAGTTTTTGTCTCCCTAATGATTGGTAATTTGGTATAGGTTAGATAACGCTTGATTATGATTATGATTATGATTTTATATTGTTAGTATCTTCACTTTTGGGTAGTTAGTTGGTATTGGAGAAAAAGGTATAGACCCTTGCATTCTGTTTTTATCTATATATGTTAATCTTAATCAAATCCGAACTTGATTCATTTGGGTTAATGAGTTCATTTGCTAAAAAGTGTCTAAGAGGATTCTGTGGGACAAAATTCTAAATGGCATTATATGAATGGTTATAAATATGGTACTTTATAACCATTGTTCTTGTTCTAGTATCAAGTTTGTTTTAACTGTAAGCAGAAAATCTATCAGGTAATAATCTCTGTAATTTCAAGGAGACCTGAGCATTGCAGCTCCCAGTTGTTTTACTTCCAACCCCTCTTTGCATTGAGGGAAGAGTAAGAAATGATAATAACATTGTCATGTATTACCAAGCATTATTGACACAATGTTACCATCTAAAACTATGAAGTATCCTGCTTTTCCTATTGATCAACATGTTCTGAGCAATCTGATCTTTGCTGAGCAGCCTTTAGGAGATGCAATACATTATAAAAATCATCATGTGATCAAGCTACTAGAGGAACATGGTGCCAAGCCTCCTGTAAGTTTTATTTTCCATTCTATTTTACTCATCAAGTGTTTAAATAACTGTAAGAAAGAAAACTTTTGTCTCCGTTGCACAAAAGATTGCTTGGCTTTATTGTTGTCTAAATTTTGTTTTGGAAAAATAAAATTCTCATCCAGATGGCTCCCATGCATGTCAACAATTCACGTGAAGTTCCAGAATATGAGATTGATGCTAAAGAACTTGATTTCACGAACAGCATTGAATTGGCCAAGGTAATTTCATATATAAAATGTGAACATTTACATTAACTTGATTGGTAATTAGCTATTTTCAATGGGCTAGGTATGCTGATTTTCCTTTCAAAATACTTCCTTTTAACCTACTATCTTGGGAGGTTATAGTGAAAAGTTAACACAACTAAATTGAGTGGGATGCTAGGTTGGTAAGGATAAGTTGATCTTCTTTGGTGTTTCTGTCATAAGAAGTCCTTATATTAGGGTGGTATGTTTGGAAAAAGCTGGGAAATATTCACCTGATCCTTTTCCTATTCCGCTAGTGTATTGCTTCAATCTACAAACTTTTGCTTCTGTATCTTTCTGATGATTCCTGAACTATTATAGGGAACCTTTCATATTGCCTCATGGCGTGGAATACAAGTTGCTGTGAAAAAGTTTGGAGATGATGAGATTGCTGATGAGGATAAAGTGTGAGTATAAGATACCAATATTGATTCTGTGGAATCTTCTAATGAAAACAGAAAAAGCCATAAGGGCTCTTCACATTGTTTAGCTCTCCTCATATCTCACTTATTTATTATATATTCTTAATTTATGGATATTTGCAGGACGGCATTCAGAGACGAGCTTGCACTTCTCCAGAAGATTAGGCATCCAAATGTCGTCCAATTTCTTGGTGCTGTAACACAAAGTAGCCCGATGATGATAGTGACAGAATACTTACCAAAGGTAGTCCCAAATTTACTCTCTTGTTTTTTCTTTATCTAAAATAGTTGTGGTGTGTATGGTTATATTTCACAACATTTCGGTAGGCCGTGAAGGTTTTAGTTATTCTACACATTTGTCTTAGTTGATTCCTTTCTCTATTTTGTTCTTTTCTAGCAAAAGCAACACCCTGATACTAAATGTCCTTTTCATGGCTATATATTTCCAGGGCGATCTCCATGCATATTTGAAGAATGAAGAACCTCTTAGACCAACAAAAGCTATCAGATTTGCAATAGACATCGCAAGGTTCACAAGCCACTCTACACTATTAGCTAATGTTATAAACTCACTACGTAATAACAAGACCAACACTTGTATAAATGTCTGGAACCTGGGGAACTTTGTGGAGTAACATTTAAATCCACACAACTTGCATATCTCTTGGTTTTAAATTCTAAAAATTAGCATCTGTGGGAGGCAGAGCAAGTAATCACTCAGCTGTTGATTATACTTCTGAGAATATTTATTGCTTAATTCATCTAGTAGTTTGTTATGAATCTTTTAGTTAACATCTATTGTGTTTCTTAAAGATCCCATCTGGTGTTTGCATATCCACTGGTAATATTAATAGAAAGAAGAAAAGAAAATAGAAGATCATACTTGTTAATGGATATGCCACTTTTTCCTCGAATGCTAGGTTATCTGCTGACCTAGTATTCTAATGTCCTGCATATCACTTTAAGCTGACCCTAGGAATATCAAATAGGATGCATTTAGTAAAGAAAAAGGAGAAAAACATATAGAGATAATTCAATTTCAAAAAAAACATATAGAGATAATGCAACACTAGTTGCTTTTTCCGTCAGTCAATACTGGAAGTTAATAAACATCATTTGATATTACTCTTTACTTCCCACTTTGTTTGATTTGCTTCCAAGCTAAAATTTATGCCCTGTAGTACCCTGTATTATTTCAAATATAATGTGATATCTTTATACCCATTTCAAGTCTTCCTACTATTTAATATTATCATAAATAATTGGAATCATTCTCTTGAGCTCTGAGATGGTCAACACAGCTCAAATAAATTGGATGGAACATTAAGGATCTCTTCAAAAGTTATTTTTAATTCTATCAAAATTTTCATTTCCAAATTTCACTTGAATTTCCACAGCTGCTTGGCATGTGAGACATTTGATTATATTTATTTTCTTCGAATCACCTCGTGCTTGCTATTTACTGAAATAATTTATCAAACATACTGTTCACATTCATTTGGAGTTGAAGCTTTGTGTGATTCATGTTATCTCTGAATCATAATGTGCATAAGTAGAATTTTAAACACTATTGTATTTTATATGTTTGCAGGGGACTGAACTATCTACATGAAATTAGACCTGAAGCGATTATTCATCGTGACCTAGAGCCTTCGTAAGTTCTCTTCTTTTGTTAGGTTTCCTTTGATGCCATTTGTGTAAGCAAATTCCCATCCAAGGTTTTGTTGACAAGCCTCAATCTTTGAAGTTCCCCTCTTTCAAAATTGAGTTTCTTCATCTTAATGTTTTAATATTTTCACGTGACATAACAGAAATATTTTGAGGGATGATACGGGACACCTGAAAGTTGCTGATTTTGGAGTCAGCAAGCTATTGAAAGTTACCAACAGGGTCAAAGAAGATAAGCCTCTGACATGTGATAACACATCTTGTGAGTACTCCTTTCTTTTAGGTATCACAACGTTTCTTTTCCAATGGAGAATTATGCTGACATTTGACACAGACTCGACAGTAATTGTGACACTGTTGTTGCTGCTTGTTTGGATGTAAAATTCCTGCCAGTCTAATTTTAAAAAAATTGTTCAGCATTGCATGGTGCCACAATTGCTTCTACTGATCCATTTCTGTTGATTAATAATTGGAAATCTCTTAGCCTGTTTCCTTTTGCCTTTTGTTTTGTTGGAAATAAATAGGCCGATATGTAGCTCCAGAGGTTTTCAAAAATGAGGAATACGATACCAAAGTTGATGTCTTTTCCTTTGCTTTAATTTTGCAAGAGGTAACATTTTCTCTGTCTGTTTGAATTTTTTGAACTTAAGAAATGACAGCTTTTTAGTTCATTCATTGTGGACCATATGTATAAAAATATATGATTCTTGTATTCTTTTCTTGATTAATACTATATTCTGAATGGAGTTGCATTATTGAAATAACATGTGGGGGAAGAGGTTGATAGTTGATGGTCACTATGGGGTCTCTTTTGTGATCAGAGAGTTACCTTAGGTTTTGCATGTACTTCTGATCAATGAAGATCCTCTCTTTTCTCCACGCAAGTCCATGGAAGTGAAAATAAATCCTTGCACATCATTGAGATGACACATATCTAGTCCTTTTTCTGACTTTGAACTTGATTGCTTTAATTTCTTCATAGCCACAAATATGTATGTATCTATCTACTTTATGGTTGTGACACTGAGATGATTGATCTAGCTACATGACTTTGAACTTGTATAATCCTTAATATAGTTTCGTTATAACATGCTTTTAATGCAATACAATCAAGAGAGGATTTGTTGTGATGCAATAACAAGCAATATCTTTAGTTTTCCTTTTATAAAACAATCTCTTTATATGTATGGCATTATGCAGTTTGTTGTTATTTGTAGACAGTGTTAACTTTCTGCTGAGGGAACTGACAGCAGAGTGGTTACCTTGTGCAGTGGAGACTGCAAGTTTTATTTTCTACCATCTAGATAAATCAGTACTGCAATACATATTGATTATACTATACTAGTGTTGATCTGCTCTATGATGCTAGAAATCAGCTAAAACTTCTAAATTGTGCTTTATGAACTTCCATAAGTCAAGGATGTGCATATTTTCTATTTTTGTTTCCACAAATGGGTTAGGATTTTGATAATTGTGCTGTCGTGTACTTTAGATGATTGAAGGCTGCCCCCCTTTCAAAGCAAAGAATGAAAATGAAGTACCTAAACACTATGCTGCTAAGGAGCGCCCTCCTTTTAAAGCTCCAGCAAAGTTTTATGCCCATGGACTGAAGGAGTAAGTTCTCTATCAATTTATTTGTGGAACTCCATAGTCTAATACTTGGGCAATGCATTGGAAACTCTCTGTTCTCATTGAAATTTAAGAAAATGATGACGATTAAGATATCAAGTAAAATTCAAGAACATTTGTTTAGGACTGGTCTAAGTTTAAGTACTGTCTACATTTATCTAACTATCACAATTTACATGTGTGAAAAGAGTAAGAATAACTAGGAAAGTACACTTCGTGGACATGCTTCTTTATTTAACCATAAATATGCTTACGGAAGAAAGAACAAGAAATTAAACGGAGATAGGTAGAGACGAAAAGTGAAATGGGAGAAAGAGATGGATATATGTGGGGTTAAAATCAGCAGGGTTCTGCCCGAAGGACCAAGCTTTACTTCTTGGACAAGTTTGGTATATTGTTTTCCCTTTGTTGGCAGATGTTATAGTCGCATTGCACTTATCCCACCAATACGGCATCAAAAGCCCCTCCGCTCATCCTTAGACACTCTAAGATCCTTTCTTCGAACCTGCTCCCACTTTGAATCAATCTATTTCTTATTCTAAGGGCCTCAAAGACAGCATATAGAAAACAGAGCTTTCACCTATGAGATTAGATTGCCTTGTATTCCACTTGGTCGCATACCCAGACAGAAACTAAGCTCCCATTCCCGACCCATTTAACAAGCTACGACAAGTAACAACTGTAGAACAATTAGTTCTTTTAAGGACCATTAAGGAAACTGTATGTTAAATGACACCTACCTATGTGCCCTGTGTTCTGACAAATAAGTTATAGACCTTCATTTGTTAAAATTTCTTTTTTTAAGTGCCCATGGCAGCATTTTATGTGATAATAAGAAAAGTTATTGCAGCTAAGTTCCGTTTATCGAAGTTCTAGAGTTCCATAACCATCCTTTCCCTGTGTGCAACTTTATAGAGGATCTATAAATCATGATAGACATTCCCATGCAATTTATGAACAGAACAGTTTAGGTTTAAAACTAAACAAAAGGAAGTCGATCCAGAAGTCAATTTGTAAGTTCTTTGATTCTACTTATTCTACAGTTGACTAGGTTTATAATTGTGGTTCTATATTTGATACTTTTTGAGATATTCAATAATGAACTGGTTTACTGTGAATCAACTTTTTTCCCCCACAGTATAGGTTTTAACTTTTTATGGTTACCAAATCATCACTGCATTGTTGTTATTACAGCTGATTTAATCAGAGTTGATTTTGGTTTTCCAGGCTGATTGAAGAGTGTTGGAATGAGAATCCGTCCATGCGTCCAACTTTCAAGAAAATAATCCCAAGGCTCGAGGCCATTTACAACAAATTTGGCCACAAAAGGCGTTGGAAGGTAAACCTTTCGGTCATTTAGCTCCTTTCCACCATCTCTATGCACTTATAAATAGTGTGTGGTGCATATGTATTTTGAACTTCTCATATTGGAGATCAATGAGTTCAAACTATTTTCCAAGCCTAGTCAAGTAGAGATGTATTACCTATATCACTTGAGCATCTGTGATTGCGTAACTATATCTCATACATTCCGTTCACCTTTCCACACTTCATGAAGTGTGTAGCAAATAATAATTGCATAGACAGAAAAAAGGACATACTCATATTCTGATTGATAAGAGTCTCTGTCTGGTTTTCTGCTGATTTTCATACCTAGTACTAGAGGACAAGCCAGTGTTTCTGAAAATGTTCTGTTTCTTTTTTCTTCTTTCTTTCCTTTGTACTTGTCTCATCGACATAGTCAAAACTCAAAGGTGGTCTACCATTTTGGCTTAGGCTTAACGATGCCTGAGTCTCAACGATGGCCTGTATTGTGTTTTAGGAGATATAGTTTTGTTGCTACTTCAATGCTCCTATATATATGATGATCATTCTGAGTTAAGCATAGATCTCTCATTTCATCTTGTATGTGTTTCCCTATGCAGGTTAGACCATTGAAATGTTTCCAGAATTTCGAGGCCATGTGGAAGAAAGAAAACTCAAGTTCAAGTAGGAATGGATCATCGCGGTCAAACAGCAGCATCTAGCAAATTGCGGATATTTCATTTGTTCAAGTGTGCATATGTTTCCTTCACAGATTTCTGCCAAAGATTTCAGTACTAGGAAGTTGTATCACTTTTTCTAGCTTTAAATCTCTAGATGTCCAAAACAAATGGTCATCCTTTTTTTTTTCCTTGCCTCTTTCTATTGAGATCTATATTGTTTATGTACATTATAGTAGATAAAATATTCATGGTGCAAATGCTATGTTTTCTTCTCTTTGCTTTGTGGAAGCATCCAATTAACTGAGACAAAAAAAGAGATATAATAGGTGATTCTTTTCATCTACCTACGCCTTGGTGGACAGAGTTAATCGACATATGCTAGAGGGAGGTACTAGCTACTTGATGAAATAGTCGAGGTACATCTTACATGTGCTGGAGGAAGGTACTAGCTAGTAGTACACTTGAGAGGCGGAAGGACCCTTTAATAGAAAGTTACATTGTATATTTATATATAGCAAATGGTAAATCCCTCTCATGAAAATCCTACCTCCATCATTACGACCCCTCTCAAAGAAAGGGAAAAGAAAGACAATTCCCCTCAAAACTTTCCCAAAATTTTAGGTTAAGGCATCTCTCTTATTTCCCAAGGATTTAGGTTTAGGGTTCTCTGTTCCCAAAGATTTAGGTCAAGGCATCTTTCTGAAATCCACCCTCTACACAGCCTATGGTGGGGGACACTGAGCAAAGCCAGCACATAATAAATTGACTACAAAAACCTTATTGAAAACACCATACATATTGTTAGCTAAATTAGTTAAGTTTTCATAATGTAGGACCACACCCCCATTACAAATGCTTTCCCAATATAGAAACACAACCAATATCTACATATTCTTGATATATGGTCTCACAAATTCACTTTAATCTTATTGTAATTTGTCTAGTATTTTATCTTAGCCTTAAGCCCTTAAGTATAATTAATCCCAATTAGTTTAAGGAGTTACTTATGTTGTGTTCGATAAAGGAAAATATTTTCTTAAAAAATGTGAGTTTCATATTTATTTTCTTGTGTTTGCTACGTAAACAAAAGATATTATCCTTATTTTTTCCAGACAAAAACTATGAGAGGCAAGGATGGAGCTAGGAGGTTGGTGGTGAAGATGAGTTACGTTGAAGGGAGGGGAGAACACAATTGATGTGGAATGTCACTTGTGGAACTTGTTCTCCCTACTTCTACTATGGAACTTGTTTTCCCTACTAGTTCTATTGCGGATCTTTATAAAAACGTTTTATAAGAATTTTGACAAATCAAACAGGAGAAAATTGAAATAAAAATATATTTCACCATACCGAGCACACCCTAATAATTAAGACAATTTTGAATCTTTGAAATGAATACACACACATTTATATATAGTGTAACTTTTAAGTAAGGCTTTGATCAAAATTAGCATTTTAGTCAAATTTCCCATTAGCTAAGAAGCAAAATAGAAAAGTATTTCATGGTTTGGTTTGGAGTTACTTTCATAATAAGTATTTGATGTATTTAGTTCTTACTTTCGTAAGTAGCAAATTTATTTGTTACTCAATAAGGTACGTAGATTACAATGTCCTAAAGTTTTGCTGGTTCAATCTGTTGAATGTGTCTCTTCCAAAAAAGAATTTTGGGTCCAAATAGTAGAAGAGTGTTACATTATCCCACACTAGTTGAGAAAATAAGTTATTGGTTCCTTATATAGAAATGAGAAATACCGATCTCACGACTAACTTTTAAGGATAAGTTAAGTTGCAAAGTGATATTAGAGTCGGACTTATAGTGTCGCACATTGGTTGAACGAATGAGCTATTGTAATTTTATATGGTTTAACCATCGTATAGTTAGTTTTTTTTTCGCGATTAATTAGGCCCGAGGTTCATTTTTTTAACGCATTAAAGAAGGAGGAAAGGGACAGAAATGAAGTTCACGGCCGAAAGTTGGTGTAAGTTATAATTTGATAGACCTGTGAAGCAATAATTGGATGAGGACTATACTATTTTGCAAATAAATTGAACTGAAATTTCCCTAAAAAACTCATGTTATTTTGTGGTCCCATTTGTCATAATGAACAATAGTGGCTGTTTGTATTAAGAGTTTGGACAATTGAGCAACTGTCTTTTTACCTTATAATAATTAATGACAAAGTTCAAGCAATCAATCTCTTAATCCAGACAAAAAATTAAACATAATTTTTCATACTTTCAACACACAAGGCAAAATAAAAATGTATAGGCTTTCATTTGTTGGACATGTTCTCAAGTCTAAGGAAAATTTGGACACAAAATTCACAAGTGTTAACCGTATATATAGGAATCAGAATTTTTATTAAACATAAATAAAGTACATGAACTTGTTATATCATCAATAACTCTTTACCAAATTCTGAGTTTACAAAATGAATTACGTACTGGTACGAACTTAAAGTTTTCTCGTGAAGCATATAATTTTCTTTTTCTTAATATAAGCACGTTTAAGATAAGATTTGTCAAACCATTAATCAAGGCAGGTTTGGAGCCTTCTCCACATATATGAGTGATTTTGATATATATGTAATTGAATATTTCCCTTTCTTAGATTAAACTCCTGTTTGGTCATACATTATTTGTCCATGAAATTTGGTCAATTTATGAAAATCTGTCTTTAAAAAAGATCAAATTCTAGACCAGTTTTGGGTGAAATTCCACTTTAACTCACAAAATTTTAATTTTCAATACTTTAAATTCCAATTAAAATATTTCAACAAACTTTAAAAAGCTGATTTTTTTAAAATAAAAAATCAATTAAATCTATGATCAGGCGCTAGCTGAATAAAAAGTTGATACACGTATCCTCTCATGCTATCCATGAGAGAGGAGTGAAAAGCTCGAGAGTTGATATACACGGGTAACAGTATCACTACATGTACCACGAGTGAGTAGCTACTCTAAACCTATAGTAAGATAGTAAAATTATGACCTGTCCATTTTGTTTAAATTTAAACGGTTTAATGATCTGCTTATTTATAAATTCAGTCTGTTATAATTCGTTCAAATTTAATTTATTTGAAATTTGAAATGATGAACAATATATGTAGTCGAAATTGATCCATAAAATTGCTTTATCTAAATAAAATAATTTTTATAACTGTAATAAAAAGGGATTTTTTGAAATTAATTTTTTCGTTAATTGAATAAATCACAATTAAAAAAAATTGAAATTTGGTAAGAGAGTTGGGCTATGACTGCTAATTTAGCTAATTTTGATCCAGACCAACTAACTTCTAAGCGGTGATTTACAAAAATGGCCTTTAAAGTAAGATATATTGCCTTTTTTACTCCGTTTATCTCATGAGCACAAATTCAAGTTTAGCTAGTTCTGCCCCACAGGCAAACCTTCAAGGTGTGTTGCTCACGAGGCAAATGAGGTTAAAAGTTCAATACTACTGATTTTTAAAATCACTAAATGTAATTTCCTAATTTTAAATGGAATTAATTAAATAGTAACTCATTTATCAATTTAACCTACGTTTGTCAAAATTTAGTTCAAACCACCCATTTATACCGCTAGTTAACACGTCTCCCACAAGAGAGTAACGTTTTTCTTATGGTAGGGAAAATAGGGAGGGAATTACAATGTTGAGAATCGAACCTTCACCAACAAGGTGAGAGTTCAGGTAGCCAACCAACTGAGCTAGAAGTTACTCGCCAACGCCTCTTTACTAGATTTTAGAAGAATACACATCACTAACACTAGGAAATTAGATGACCTCCCATTTATATAGTAACAATATGAATTTGAGCATAAGAATTTTGGCATAGAATGTAACAACCATAATCAAGACTTTTTAACTTTAGAAAGAAGGGAATAACTCCAATATAACAAAGAATACACTTTCCAAGAAACACAAATAATATTCTCAAATTCACATGTATTCCACATGGAATTTGGCATATTACACACACTCCCAATAGAATTAAAGTTGTATTTCAATAACCATGGACTATGATATATATATATATATATATATATATAATATGTAATTGGAGCACATTATTTTTCTTTTTCCTATTGGCACTTGGAGAAAGAACAAGAACCAAATATGCTAATGTAGCATGTAGAATTTGAAAGTTATTTACAAATTAAAGTATATGTCCCACTTGATTGCACGCATCAATGTGGTCCTCATCCTAAGATATGGTGAAGATTTGTTTGCATTTCCCTTTAGAAGTTTTGACATTTAAGGATTCTGTTTAACTACCACAACCCCAACCCTCTCCTTTATTCTCTATTATTCTCTTCGTTTTAATTTGTTTTACCTATTAATTTGATTTAGAAATTTTTTTTATGAAAATAAAGAAGACTTTTACATTGTATGGTCTTAAACTAATGATATGTCATAATCATGTCATTTAATCTTGTGGTTTTAACCATGTCACATGAAAAGTTGAAATCAAATAGTTGCTAAAAAGGGAGATGGCCATTCTTAAGAATTCTTTTAGTTTTTTGTGTGTGAACTTTTTGGTGATATGGTTTTTGGACACTTTTTTTCCATTAGTTTTACAGACCCTCCGTGATGACCTTGGGGAACAATAAGTATAGACTCACCATGATCCATGCCATTTTTTAGCATTTAGGAGTCACTCAACAGAAATTAGACGATTTTCTTAGTTTTTAATGTGCGTTAGTTAATGAACTTTTTTTGATAATATGATTTTCGTGCACTATTTTTCCCAATCATTCACAAGTTTAAATAGACTTAAAAGAAAAACAGGTCAAACAAATTGAAACGGAGAGTATAAGCCGATTTCATCTCTATAAAGTTTTAATTCCATCTCAAGGAAAAAATGCAGTAATATCCCTTGAAAGCACCAGGATATATGCACCAAGAAAAGAAAGAAATTCCATTCAAATTAATCAATTTTGATGAATTGAATATAGAAAAAAAAATGACATCACAAGGTTTATGTAAGTACCCTCTTTATTTACTTTTTTTAAAATACTTTATGACCAAAATGTTTGTGTAAAAAAAGATGATACAACACATTCATACTTCTTTGACTATCAAATCCAACAGTCATAAGATTTTTTTTTAAGGTTTTAAGGACAAAAAAAATGGATAACATCATGATTCATGAAAATGGCTCAAATAGTCTGAACTTCTTCTGTGAACTATTTGTAAGTGAAATGCCAAGCCCAACATGTTGTTTGTACGTACGATAATTGCTAAGACATT